GCTTTTGCTTGATCTGATTCAGCTAGTAATTCTGAATTCTCGTGTAACAGTAACGGAGGAATACCATCACTACGTTTCATTTGCCGTTTAACATACGAAAACAATCGTTTCGGACAAGTACGGCTATCATATACTAACTGTCGTTCGTAAGTGGTACGAGATTTGTCTGTGGTTTTCTTACAGATATTACGGTATTTTTGGTACTCACGCTTAAATGGTGCATGACCTGTCAACAAGAATAAGTCCCAGAAATGTTTTCTACGCTTTAACAGCTTCCGGGTTTCCTTATTAATCCATGGAGGGCAATGTTATAGCTTACGTGCTGACCATGGGATAAACGGCGACGTTACGGAATCGAATGTTGCCTTAAACTTATTCCATTCATCTTCAATCAATCCATCCCCGTCGACCGACCAATCAGTCGAGATAGCACAGTTTCTGATCTCCGAAATATTGGCTCGCCAGATATTGGGACGGTGTGGAGCAGATACGAATTGTATACCATGTGTCCTAAACTTAAAGTGAATTACAACGTGATCACTGTTAACTAGTGGGGGAAGGTGCTGAATATCAAAGACGCCCTCATAGTGGTGGGTGAGGGCGAGTTCCAGCAGTGACGGAAAATGTTGCAAATCAATATGTATCGGTTTTGTGATACATTGTACAAGTGCACACTGAATAACGGTAGATAAAAGGTCACTATCGAAACCACTGCTTGGAGCTGTAAGCTCTATCCAGTTGATATGCAGTGCGTTGAAGTCCCCAATGATGAGACAACATTCTGCCATACTCAAAGAACAGATGTGTCTTAGGATAAAGTCGTCAGCAAGATAAAACGGACTACGGTATATTCCCCCTATAGTCACTAACCCATTTCTAGATTTAATCTTATAACATGTCACCTCACTGATATGAGCCTCCGATATGGTTGATTGTATACGAAAGTGATCCCTAACGTGTAATATTATACCTCCGCCTTTGCGACTTGAAACTCCATCACTACTAATACAGATATAACCTGCAATGAAAGGAGAACAGTCTATATCTACTATGAACCAAGTTTCTGTAACAACGATTATATCAGACTTAGCTCGGACGTTTTATTTCTAAGACTATGAGCGTTCGTGTAGCACACACTTAAGGTGTTCTGGCAATCAATCGTTCTACCCATACAGGCCTCGGAAGCATTGGCTTCCAAGACCTGACTATCCGAAAACTCTTAATGGTAAGGTTATTTTCGTCATTTAATTTGCGAGTCCTCAACTCCGTAAGAGCATTCTTCCACTTGATCCGATCCTCAAGCGGCCAATCTGGTCGAATACGGATATTTGAGTCACGAGTTTTTGGTGCCTTTTTCAATAATATGTCTCTTTCTTCAAAACTCCCGAAAACCAGCTTCAGGATTCTTCTTGGTTGGGTCTCGCCTCCAACCCATTTACCAAATCGTATTAAAACCACCTGAGACCGCCGGGAATCGAACCCGGATCGACTGCTTGGAAGGGCTGCAATTAAACGCAACTCAATTTCGTAAATGTGCCCTTCAGCTTAGCAACCAATCAGAATGTGGCGGGAATTATTATATCAGCCATCTTTGTACGTAATGGCGGCCGGCTTTCTTCGTTCTGTGCTTCTTTAAGCTATTTCTTTTGTGTAGCTATCTAAATAATGTTGCAATGTGCTAAGATGCCGCAGTTAGTGTAATGTTCTACATGTTGGTGTGAAAATTACTTCGAATCAGCATTGTTTTTTGGGTTTTTGCTGCTTCTACTCTAGTCAATGTATTTCTTCAGTCAAGCTGGTTAGTCTTATGTTTTAAAATGGAAATCGGTTTTGTTTTGACTTGTTTTCTAGATATCAAAAGCCGAAGTTCGTTTTTTCTTAGCTGAAATAACTGTTGCTGCGTCCTGTGACTGACTGTCCGCATGTTCATTCCTAACTGTCCTTTATGATGTTATCGGCAAAATGAAAGGAAACAATTTCCGGTTTTTAATTTTCTTCAGTATTGCGGACAACAATATCCCACCAATAAGTCAAACTAATACTTAGTGCCTAGCCGTAGGGGATGTCAGTAATGTTTTCGAAAGTACCCAGGCTTCCGACAACCATAGACGAAGTCACAGATGCTACCAATCTATTGCAGAGGGTTTGTTATGAAAAAATATGCCACATAGCAGTAATGGAGGGGTTGTACGCATTACGTAGTGCGTTAAAGCAAGCTTAACATTAAAAAGCCGGAAATCTGCTATCAGTGTATAGTGTATGTTTGCTGTTTTGGCCGTAAAAGAAAGCCGAAAGGTCATGATCAGGGAGTAAAAAGGTAACTAACTGTCATTAAGCTCAGCTTTTTATAGATCATAATTCACCACTCGCAAATTTGTGTTTTTCTACAGTATGACGTCAACCGTTATCTAATATGTTCACCTTTACGATGAAAAGTACCTGCAAATTCTCACCTTCATATTCGAATTATTTTGGGACAACCGTCTTCCAGATTGAGTGCTTCGTACGCCCTGGGAGACTAGATTCCTCCATTATTCGTAGTTCCAGTATAACGTTCTCATACAGTAAGTTTAGAATAGACACTAGTCTTTCTAAATAAGCATGTTAAGCTAATATCCGTATTCTCTATTTCAGTTGCTCGGTGAAGACATGTACCACGTGCATCTGTTGTATATTGTTATTTTACTCCAATTCTAACTGCTATATCTTCTGAAAAATAAAATTGCTATATGCAGCAAATACAGACTTATTGTTTTGATGGTGGTAGGGGAGTTCATGGGTTTTTTAGCAGGACTGTAGTAATATTCTCACTAAAGAGCTAAGTGAGTGCGTAGACCAATGTAAAGTACCATATAGGGTGCCTTTGAATTACTCGTGGTCCATTAGTGTCGGTAGAAGCATTACTTGCTTATCATATGACATTTGAATAAGAAGCTATGAGATTAGACGCAGGGACGGTCAGAATGTGTAACGCGTGTCCATCCATCAGTTTCTGTGGCAACTCATGGTGGCTAGAATAAGTTGTGAGAGGACCCGAGCCTGTAGGTTTCCCAAGAAAGTGACGGAGATATGCACCAAATCACCTTATGAAGAGCGCCTCCAATCACTTAACCTATACTCATTAAAGTATAGACGTCTTAGAGGTGACCTATTTACTTACAGGATCCTTAACACTTCTGGACATTCTCTTAAACACCTATTTGAGCTTAGTCCCAGAAACTAGAGACACGACATAGCAGAATGAACTGTAGACGCGACTTCTACTCCTTAAGAGTTGTCGAATGCTGGAATTCGCTGCCCGCCGAACTAGTCCAAGCGACTTCCCAGGAGTCGTTCGGGAGACGACTGGATCTTTTATTGTTAACATACCTAGGTTCCTGCTTGGAGGTTTCGGTGATCCCCTGCTACTAGACACGGAAGCCTGAACACATGAATTAGGTGATGAGAGGCTCGATTATCACAAGTTTCTTGCAACGATTAAGTAGATAAAACAAAGTAGCATTAGGTTCAAAAATTTATTCAAGAACTTTCATTAAGAATCGAATATGAAACAAAGGTTTAAACCAAGTTCCAGTCTAAAAGTTGAATTTGTAATGTTAAGCTGCAGTTTGTTTTTTCCAAACGAAAGTGTAAAAGAAGTAACTCAAAAAGTACTAGAAGTGGTTGTGAGATTAAAATGGACATCCAGCATCCTTTTTATAATCTGCTGTTAGTTGGGTCTCCCGTAAACAGGGCCATAGTTCTAAGGGCGAAACAGTTCTTAGGATCTGTGAAGACTCAGTCCTGTTGCATTCTAAATGAGAAAACAGTAATGAATTTAGTCAGAAATGTGGAATAGATAAATAACCAAATTACATGTTTTTTAGCAAAGAATTTATGCAGTTCTGATTTAACTTTAGTTCATGAATATTAGGTCAGGTCAGCTATTTATTGTGCAAAGTATAACATAGACTTAATACCGTATCTCAATGCTTTTTTTATTTTGCTCTCATTTAAGTGTTACCATGTATCTGCATCTAGTTTAACAGGGAGACATACAAGCAGATTTAGTGTTTGATGAACTAAAAGTCCCAATTGCCAAAAAGATTCTTAACATTTGTCCACAGCCAACTGCATTTAATTGAGATACAAAGCAGCCATCTAAGACTGTATACTGCTCTTCTGCGGGCAAATAAAAGCTCACACATTTAGCTATCCTGCTGCCGATGTTATTGCTGGGGAAATTGTTTAATGACAGTGATCACGAAATATGGTCAGTGATAGATGTACAATCTAGAAATAAACACTAAACATAATTATCGCTATCTTATAATGTATGACAGCAACAGTACCAAAAGCACTTTTTTCCTATTTTTAGTCAGACTGTTTTGAATCAGTATACTCATCAGAAACAGGCAACTCTACTTACTAGACTGATCTGTTTCGTTACAGACTTAAAGCACTATACTTAAGTATACCATAATTCTTTCAACTAAACTGAATTATACGACAACCAAGAATACTAAACTAAGCAAGTGTCATAGTTATTGTTTCATTTGCACAGGCATATTGCTTAAAGTAGTTAAATGGACATAATTAAGACGATAAAACAAAAACACGAAATATAGGCCAATTGAACTTGCCGAACAGAAGACAAAGAATATATATATTGCTTTCCGACTGAAAACAACAGGCAGTTGTTCATAAAAACATAGTTTATAGTACAATGAACCTTTCTACAGTAAAATCATGCACTGACAGTCTATCTGGATACAATCAACTATGTGAATAAACTCACTATGACTTGAGATATCATCCCAGCATGCAATGGACGTGCAGTGTAACGCAGTCAAACGTGGCGAATAAAAATATAAAAAAAGATCAAAATTAGCTATATAATCTAGTTATTTAATTAAAAATACATTATGAAATGGCAAAATCTGTGGTTATTTGAACGCACAAATGACCGATACATTAAGTTTACATGGTTGCGTTGCGGATAAGATCACCCGCTTGGAAGGCAGCCATGACAACCGCTACACCACGGTCGCAGGACTGAAAGAAGACTACATGAACCATATCTCTCTGTGTCTAAGAATAACCTACTACTTCTGAGATACAGCCTCAAGGGGGCAATTAATTCTCTAATTCTAACCAATAAATTTCGAAATATAAGCCTCCATAGACTAATCAAATTTACCGGGGATTAATACACTAGTTTGCACAACTTTTGCTTGAGAAATCATCCGATATCTCAATCATTTCCTTAACGTCATTAAACTTGCACATAAATATAAACTGGTTTGCTCAAGTTCTAAACAACGTTATTTATTGTATATTGGACAAAGAGTATGAAGAAAAAGGGAGAAAGTCTAACTCACGCGCTACAGGAGATGTAACCCGGTCTTGGATTTCCTCTGACTCCCATATCTCTTCGTTATCCTGATTGTAAATAGCACATCTATTTCACATAGTAAGTTTCAATTTTTCCTTCCTCGCTTTTCAACATGCCAGTTCTAGTATCGATGTCTTAAATATTATACGTAAGCTTGGTACACTATACAATATAAAGCCTGTCTTGTCATACCTTTCAGACAACGAAAGAATCATTTGATTGTGAAATAATTCATAGGATAAAACCAGTGCAACTATTATTGGTCGACAATTTAGCAGATGAATAACCTTTATTCATGAACTGTTAGAGTTTTGATCACGAATTGACATCAGCTCTAACACAAAGATAGATTTAATGATGAAATCTGGTCAGTACGTCTATATGTTTTACCTTGTCTATTTTGCTTGTCAAAGGGATTGTAAGATGGTATCTTATTCGTTCTCGACTTTCCTGCTAGCCTTCTGTATCCTCTGAGATGTTCTGATCACTAGATCGATCTAGTGGGAAGAGAGAGGATATAGTGGGTCCAAAATCATTTCCTAATATTCTATATATCAAATTCCGGTCACCTTAGTCTGCGATAGAACAAAGTAAAGAGGTCTAGCTTTTCTGGTATTCGCTGGTAGCTACCCTCTCTACTTTTTCCAGGATATATGAGTCGCGTTTTAAACAGAGGCTTGCAGCTTAAATCTAGTTTTCAAGCTTCTCATTAAGGTTATGTATACTGCAGTGGATATGGAGGTACCTAACTTTTTGTGACCCGTTCCTGACTGCAGTAATATCGTGTGATTGATTGTTATGGAAATATACATTCTGATTATTCTCGTATAAAATTATCGACTTGTATCGCGTTAGTGAATAACAAAATTACGTAAGTCAAATACCAGAATGGATTTTCGAATACATGTATTTTGTACAATAGTTGATGGGAACAGATAATAAGACGTAGCGAATGAAACGAAGAAGAGAGAGTGAAACGAGACGGCTCGCAGTGGAGACATGTGAGACAACTCCATTTAGTCGAGCGTTAATCAATATTTATAGTCACACAAAAATAAGCTACAGACATGTGATGAGTAGGATAAGATGTGCACACATACGCTCATATAAAAACAGTCAAGGTTGATAAGAGAATAATTAACAATGTCAAAACGTGACTCAAGAAGAATTGATAAATTTGACTGTCCAGAAGCTAGAATAAATTATGTGGGTTTAACATAGTAAATGACACCACAAACTTGGTGAATGTCTGGGTCTTGGATTTTGGTGCGAAATCCATTCTTCTATTTGGTTAAAGAGCGTTTCAGCATTTTAGTTGATGTCAGTGATGAAAACTCTAAATCTAATTCTTAACCCTAACCATCAACTGAAATTCAATTTTAATTCCTCACATTGCTTTGTAACCCTCATTTTTGCACTAGTAAGTGGGTGGACACTCTCAAGGTCACTTTAGCGTCGCTCAAACGTCGTCAGTAAATTATAGCCTCACCACAGTAAAAAAACTAATGATACGAAAATGTTGTTTACGTGATGAGACAATTGAACATCACCACTGTCAAATTCAACTCATTACCTTTAGCTTCCTTTCTTTTAAATTTATCTTCAGAGTTGAGATGGAAACAGTCTTCCGCTACGGAGAAAAGCCGATCGAGTTTCAACTGGAGTCTGACGGTGAATACTTTTACTTAGCATCAGAAGTGAGTCATGTTTTTAATTCTGGGTTGTCGTAGGTGTGAAGTTAGTTGAGTGCTCGTGCTTATGTACTCTTAGAAAGTAATGTGGAAGATGCGTGACAACAGTTCACCATCTCAGTCGATTATTCTAGAACGGCAGTAACTGTAATGGGGTACAGGAACTAATGACTCGTTATTACAGAACCTCAGCGAAATTACTAACATTGAACAACACTTTTCTGTATCTCATATGGTTTATGTTTGTCTGTACATTTATCTTCAAATGTGCCATACTATGTTGCTTGAGTACCAATCCTTTTGGTTTACCAACTTCGTCTTTTGAAACCATATAGCGAAGAATGTCAGGATAACGCTCGGAATAATGCGTAAGTGACGGAAATGTATTTTAAGCACCTCAATCTCAACCACCGTGTTACCTACTCTAGTCCCCATTAACTACTATTGTTTGGAAATTGTACAATATTTCTTGTCACCATAGATTAAATGCCAATGAAAATACTACTTACTCGTCTATCTTATTACTAAGTAGGATAAATGTTTTTAATGTTAATAGCAGCAAACCGTCAAATGAAGTAGTCAGCTATTAATTTACATAGGTGACGTTTTGTGTGTTATCCGTCTGCTTCCGAGAGTGACGCTAGGCGATTTGGGAGAAGAAATCAAGATAATTCACTGTGGTTAAATGCTTGACAGTAATTGGTCATGAAATATCCGACTTCGTCCCTCAAAATGGAAATTTATGTTGGTTGGAATAATCTTATCTATCGGCAAAACCCACCAGTTTAATCTATCTCTTCACTTAAAGAAAAACAAGCGACAGAGAAGCCCCATTTTTAAGGAAGGGACATAAATTTTTGCCTAGTTAAAAAATTGTACTATAATTAATAAATACAACTTACATTTTCAGCACTATCCCTCTCTTGGATAGAAATAACTTCACTGACAAATTTATCACTTTCTTACCGATTAGAATCCATATCTGGGCATCTTGATTGCGGACTTAATTAAGAAACACCATGTAAGTGTGTTGAAAATTATCAGCAGAGTGAAATTCAGAAACCATGTGCACGGTCGTGTGTTTACCCTTGAGTCGTACATATTCTTTCTGGATTAATACCTTTATCTGGCTCCTCTACCGTTGATAGATTAAGCAGATTTCTGCTACATTCACTATCAAAAGCCGAATACATAGATCACTGAATTAAGGTTTTGTATTATAAAAAGTATACCTGCAGAGAGAAGAAATTTATTGTCAAATTATATTGCGAATTCATCTCAATCCTTCTTTACAGTTAAAATACAAGTGGTACATCACTATGTTATCAGTTAAGGGTTATCTGAGTGTAATAATAGTAGTACTTACACATAGTCAGTTTTATATTGCTAGTTCATCCAATAAAGCATCTCAAACCTAAGAATTGTAGCAATAGAAATAATAAAAACACTAGTACAAGGATGATCTAACGTATATTTCGGTGATGCTACTCCTTACTAATAACTAATTTTACAATCCATTTATCGATTGAAATCATGAGTCAATTGAAGCTAGATCACCATGGAAAACCTGGAAGCACTGGACGGCCATCTTGTCCCAGTATGGGACTCCTCAGCAGTGCGCATCCACGATCCCGCACCCCGCGAGATTCGAACCCAGGACCTATCAGTCTCGCGCCAGGCGCTTAACCGACTAGACCATTGAGCCGGCACCCAATGGTGTTAATTTCTAACCTCAACCAATCCACGAAATCGCGCAACCATCTTCCATTGTACTGAGGCAGACACCTGTTTCTACCCGACACGGATTAGCTCCACTGGTCACGGCTTCTCACCAGAACTCCGAGAATTTTGACTCATGATTTCAATCAAAAACTTAGCAATCAGCACAACCCCTAAACTGATAATCCATTTATCGTCAGATTTTACTATGAAATTATAAAACCGTGACATTTTTATAGTTAACTTTGAAACATGTTTCGGGATATTTCTATATTGATAGATAGTGGTGGGTACTTTTGTGAAACTCGTTGCCTAAATATATCAATGTTTTAATAAATTTGGATGTTCTCATTAAAATTTGAATCCACTTTATCATTCTACATTTTACAATGTTATTCCTTCATCGAGCTGTCAAATTATGCGTTAACTATTAGTGAGTAGATTTCATAATTTCCTGTTGTTGATTTTGGTGAACAGAATTGATCAACCCATCGTGTTAGTATAACATGTGTTAATCTTTACTCTCTTGTTATTTAGATTGAACTAATGTGCTACTGTATGTTTTCTTCCTAAAAGTGCTTCATTTCTGATTGACACTAGGATTTCATAAACTACTGTAGTGGTAATTCACTTGATATTGTTTTATTTGAATCTTCCCATTGATGTTTTAGGACTGAAGTTGATCAGTCTCTTATTGGCATATGTGCATACTGTGCGTATGCCTCGATATTGCCTTAATTTACAAGCATTATAAGCAGAGATGGATAGTGGCTAGCAGTGGAATCCAGGACGCGCGTTTCGTCCTGTTTTGGGACTCGTCAGCTGGATGTACCTGCATCTCAGAGTTGATGTTCACTCTGGGACTCGAGTGAACATCAACTCTGAGATGCAGGTACATCCAGCTGACGAGTCCCAAAACAGGACGAAACGCGCGTCCTGGATTCCACTGCTAGCCACTATCCATCTCTGCTTATACTGTAGTGGTAGTTTCATGAATTCATAGTATCACTATTGGTTATTTTACTTATTAGGTGGGTCGATATCTGCGATTATTTCGTAAAGAATTATTTAAAAAATATCCAAATTTATGGAAACGGTTAGTTACTCCTGAAGAAAAAGAGAAACTAATTCAAATGGGTGAGTAAATATAATTTATTCTGAAATTTGCCTGATGAGTTTTTCGGATTAGGTTAGTAAATAAATTTTATCAGCTTATTCTAGTGTTGCAAATTTTAGACCGTGGAATCAGGGTCTGTATTTGATATATGGATAATGAAATACTTGGATAGTTGAACAAGAACTCAGATGTGTTGAGAAAGGACTGTTTACTAGCTTCAAAGTCATGTCATAAGAACATCTCACAACAGTATCAACATATTGCTTGAATTTCTCAAGTTTGTCATCAGATAATTTTTGCAACAAGTACTCTGTTAATGATGAGATGTTACTTTCATGTCCCGACAATCTTCGTCGATCTAATTTAACTTGAAACGTTTAAGAGAGAGACAGTCTATAACAAATAGAATCAAACACTTCCTTTCTCAACACATCTGAGTTCTTGTTCAACTATCCCAATATTTCGTTGTCCGTATTTCAAATGCAGACCTTGATTTCCCGGTCCAAAATGTGCTGTAAGAAGTTGAGTAACAACTGGAAGGAGCTGGAAAGGATTGCCCAGGACAGGGTTGGATGGAGAATGCTGGTGAGCGGCCTATGCTCCTTTACGAGGAGTAACAGGCGTAAGTTTAAAGTAAGTCTGTAAGAAGGTGATAATGTTTGCACAAAAACCCAGCTCGATGATCGTTTTAAAGGTATTGGAAATTCCTCACTATCTTGTTAATGGGTGAAATATTCACTAAACTTTAATTCTTTTGATTAAAAAAAAGCTTACTACATGTTTTTCTTCTTTTCAAGATTCAGTTTTAAGTGTAGAATTATGAATGTTATAGTAAGTAATTGAATTTCTGAGTAAAGCCTATTCTCTTCTGTGATTCAAGTTTGCTTGAATGCTGATGAAGGAAGAGTATTACATGTTTTACTTAGAGTATATTGTGTAGATGATGGTTGATAGTAATTCCCTATTATGTGGTAATAGTTTTTATCTTTGTTTCGATATACTCTAAGTCATTCAAATGAAATATACCATTCAACGTTGTACAGCTTCAAATAAATGAGATTAGTTGCTCAAAAACTGTAAAGATATTTAAATTGTTACCATTCATTCTTAACATTTGAAATGCTTATTTTCTAAGTAGTGAGTTATATGATCAACAAAGTCCCATAAACTTGAACTTGGGAGACTAAACATCAATTTCATCTTCATGTTGAAAGTTGTGATTCAAATTCGAGTACTCAATAATTGTTTTGCATTAATTAATGTAAAATATAGTTCTCTTGAATTTTATTTTAACTTATTCAATACAAAATAGGGTTGGCAACTCCTATAACTGCTACTAATGCTATGCTTTTACGCACATATGAGGTCAATGAAATTATTTGTGATCAAGATCGGTTAGCAGATTTAAAAAGTGGGGAGCTTATTGCAAAAGACTGTTCATCAATCTCTAATAATTTAAATATGAGTTCTAGTAGTTTACGAAATTTCAACTCGAATGCGACTCCTAAATCGAATGTTGGTTTCGCATCTGTCGGTCGAACAAGTCTTGGTTCAAGTGCTAATTCAGCGACGTCAGCAACCTTACCAGGTGTTATGAACACTTCCGGTGCCATTGATCATACAACTGCAAGTGGGAATTTTAAGTCAAGAAGAGATAGCAGGTGGCTTGGTGTTGGTTCAACTCCAAACACATCATTTCATTTAGACTCAGTTCCTTGTCCAACCCCTATCAGTCGATTGAGAACTGGTAAGTCATCTGTTTTCTTGATTATTAGTATTGTTTATGCTATGTTTGAAAAGATTACGAGTTCATCTAAATAGGTGAACAGAACGAAAGGTCAGTGACACAATAACAAGACAAGCTAAACTATCCCTATGCGTCGCAGCCCCGCTAACTAGAGGGAGAAGACCTGGTTCAGATTAGGGAAAGGTATATTCCACAAACAGCCAAAAGCGCGAATAACAACAAGCACATAACTCAAATGTATATATAGGGCATAAAAATGTCCTTAGGAAGCGTCAAAAAATAGCATACTAAAAGAGGGAACGAACCAATAACATTTAGGGTCCCTTTAAGTGAGAAATACAATCTGAAGGTGAAGATGGGCGCTTTTGGCACAAAAACGAGAAACTCAAATTTCCAAGATAAAGTTATACAAATAAAATATCTACCAAGTGATTTCTGGGGATCTACCATCCCCAACAGTTTGAGTTCAAATATATAAATTCCCCATTTTCAGTTTACATACTAACAAGTAGTTGATTATTAAGTTATTAAACCAATACATGAAGTATAATTTTATTTATTTCGACATTAACATAGATACAAAAAGGCACCAAAATATGTATGTGTCACACAAAACTTTTGAGGACTGGGATAATTCCCGGGTCCCCAAACCGAAACAGCTGGCTTTATTAGGGAGCCATTTCCCGAGTCTTTGATCTAGAGGTATAATCCACAAGACAGTGTGGCAGTGTTAGGAGATGCAGGCCCATGGTAGCCGGTGACCAACAATAGGTTCATACGATGGTGGTTGAAGGTAGTCGACAGGAAACCCTGGACCTAGGTTTCGTGCTACTTGGCACTCGTCAGTAAGGTGTACCTGTAATCTTCAGGGAGCTGACGCTCCCTGACGGATTCGATCCCGCGTCACCCAGCTTCACAGTCAGAGATGTTACCATTGCTAATTAGTCGATAGAATTCAATCTGAATTAAGAAGGACCCGACATACATGATATTGATCACCACCCAGTAATCAATCAATTGTAAATACATCTCAGCATTACAGCAGGTCAGTCGTAACCCGAATAGTTCATTGGTGTTATGACCTTGAATCGCTTTTACCCCGTTGATACTTGTTATGACTTGACCTTGATCTATCTAGTCTAAATTATGACCTTGACGCGATAGGCTGAGCGGCTTAACCTTGAGTCTAGTACGCGTGAGTTCGAGATGGGGTAGAGAGGACTATTCTAGAACCTGATTGGTTGGCAAACACGCAAGTGAGAGAAGACAAGACAGTCGGAACATTTAACTCTGGATTCTCTGAATTCTCTGAATTCGGATTCTTACAAAAATGTACATGAATAAATAAGTGAATATCTTGACCACGACGTACGATAATTTGGAAAAATACAGTTATGCCGGAAACTGGGAATTAGGGTAGAAAATACGGTGCAAAATATTATGTTTAAATTACAATATTTTCGGAACAAAAAAGGGTATGGTAGTGAATGATACATAGAACGAAAGCTCATGTTATGTAGAATAATATAGGGACAAAAATAAATATGTGTTTTACAGGGTTTGATTGAAATGAATTAACGTCCCAAGAAAATGGCTTTCGTAGTTGTCTGGGCTTCTTATTTCCCCGTTCACAGCAATTGGTAACGTCTCTGACTGTGAAGCTGGGTAACACGGGGTCGAATCCGTCAGGAAGCATCAGTTCCCTGAAGATTACAGGTACACCTTGCTGACGAGTGCAAAGTAGCACGAAAATTAGGTTCAGGGTTTCTTGTTGACTAGTTCCGACTACCATCTTATCTCAACATAGTTCACGCAGTGTTGAGTCACCTAGACTAGTGGCCACATTGCAACTTAGTCGACAGCATTCAATCTGCACGAAGAAGGACCTGACATACGTGACATTGATTACCACCCAATGATCAATCAATTGTAAATAGGTTCATACGTCATTTGCTCCCTGAGGATCCTGGAGCCCATATGCACCATTGGTTTGGAATGAGGGTTCTCCAAATCATCAAGGTGGATCCTTCTTACCCACCAACCCAGTTAACGCGCCGGAAATTTGTTTTTCGTCCTTTCAATTTCGTAAACAACAACGCTGCCGCGGGACAGCGATGAGTAGGACTTCTCTGTTGGTGTCTCTATACTCATGACCATTTGAGAGTATTTCGAAAGGGAGAGCGAACTCTCTCCATCCTTGACCTTAACGGGGTATTTGAGGGCAGAATTAAAATCCGGCGATACCCGGTATTCTCATTCATTCAGTACAGGGATACTATGCAAGATTCTCTATAATGATGCTTACTTGTCTGTGACTTTTAAAAATCTAAATAATACACCTTGTTTCTTTCTTTATTCCCATTTTCATATTGTAGCCAGACAGACGAGTAAATCATTTACATTTCCTTTTTGTTTGGATGATTCTGATCCGATTGCATTTCATGAGAATGCACGTCAACCGGAATGTTTAGTACCGATTCGTTTAGATATAGAATGTGATGGTGTTAAACTACGTGATTGTTTTACATGGAATCGTAATGAACAATTAATCACATTGGAACAAATGGCTGAAGTACTTTGTGATGATTTAGATTTGAATCCAATAAATTTTGTTCCAGCTATTGTGAATGCTATGAGACAACAGGTAAAAAAAGTGTAATATTTTATACAGTCATAAGGAAACTTATTACAGAGCAATATCTTGTGCTAAGAGTTTCTTACAGTAATCAAATAATATGGTTTTGGTTGGTATAGATGTTTGTGAGATATCTCTAAATCTTATAGTTTACATCATAGTGTAACCTTAGTTAGACAGGTAGAAAGCACTGGAAAGTTATTTAAGCCTATTATGGGATTCCTCAACAGTGCGCATCCATAACTCCACTGCTTTGAGTGTAAGCTACAATCATAAAGGCTAAATAGTATCATAAATATAATCCAGTATTCGAACGTAGTCCTATATATCCATTAGGATTTGAATCGTACTTGTTTCATGAAGGTCAGCTGATGTTAATTTTACTTCAATCATTTACTCCACTTTCACCCGAGGTACTCATTGTCGCTGATTTGCAAATATACTTATCTATATTTTCAACTATATCTCTCTATTATGCAGTTAGGGATCAGATATAATCGTCTGAAGGCGGAACCTGTCCTGATTTACACAGTTAAAGATACATAATTATAATATATCGTTATACCAACTGACAGGTGAACATAAACAGAAAAGCTTCGCAGGAGAAAGGTTTTACATGCCAACCAAGTTCATACAGTTTGTCTCTGCAAGTCTAGGTATCATAGTCAGACTTACTGGTAGAGAGTATATTATTTATCTGTACATGTTGTTGTCGATTTCGTAAACAACACCCCCTCCAAGAAAGGCAGTGAGTAGGACTTCCCTGACCATGTGAGGGCATTTGGAGAGGAGGAACGGACTTTCCCTACCCTCAGCCATACCAGAGCATTTGGTGGCATTATTTTGACTAATTCACTATTTATCTTGCTAATTTCATCTCATCGTATTAATATAATATTATAACTTGTACTCAATGGTTATATCATACGTTTGATAGTGTAATAAAATGCCTTATATAGGGAATATTGGATTGATGATTAAATTCTTGAAATCCTCAGTGAAATTTAATTCAAATGTTTAGACTAATTGAACTTCTCAGGTCCTATATACATAGTCAGCATATACAGATACTTTCTTCTGTATAGCTAAGTTACATATTTAGTTCAAACTGCCTCGTTTATCTCAATATGTTTGTTAATAGAGAAATCACAATCTCTTTGATACAAGTTTGTCTATCTCAATTGATTAATTTACCATATATTCTTAAAATTGGGTGAATAAAGCAACTGTACTTACTAAATATGTGATATGTGGTTAATAAAAGCAAGATGTGATCAGCTACTGAGCATAGACAGACTAATACGAATTACTTACTTACGCCTGTTACTCCTAATGGAGCATAGGCCGCCGACCAACATTCTCCAACCCACTCTGTCCTGAGCATTCTTTTCTTATTCCATCCAATTCTTGTTCATTTTTCTCATGTCTATCTCCATTTGCCGGCGTAATGTGTTCTTTGGTCTTCCTCTTTTCCTTTGCCCTTGAGGATTCCATGTGAGGGCTTGTCTTGTGACACAGTTGGGTGCTTTCCTCATTGTGTGTCCTATCCACTTACAATGCTTCTTCCTAATTTCTTCCTCCGCTGGGGTTTGGTTTGTTCTTTCCCACAGTTGGTTATTGCTAATAGTGTCCGGCCAACGGATCCGAAGTATTTTGGGTAGACAACTGTTAGTAAACACCTGTATCTTCTAGATGATGGCTTTCGTAGGTCACGAGGTTTCCGCCCCATACAGTAGAACTGTCTTGACATTTGCATTGAAAATCCTGACCTTGGTATTGGTTGACAGTTGTTTTGAGTTCCAGATGTTCCTCAGTTGTAAATATGCTATTCTTGCTTTACAGATCCGCGCTTTCACATCTGCATCAAACCCATCATGTTCATCAATACAAATACGAATTACTGTCTATTTTAATTTGTAATTTCCTTTCTTATCATTGATTTATACTGTGAACTCACAGATTGTAGACTGGTTGTAATTGTGTTAGATAAAGTATTGTCTAATCTATGCTCTACTTCTTTATATTTGGTTATGAATTGTGTATCTGGTATAAAGTGATCCGATCTGTGTATAACATATTGTGTCAATTGATTATCGAGTCAAGGGATAATATAATCTCGGCTACTGGTCATAAAATCATAGAATAGTAGTAGTAGTAGTTATAACGTGACAAACACAACATATTTCTATTCTAAAATATGAAAATCATACCTTGAATGCTTCCATCATTCGTCCTTTATATTTTGTATGATTCCTCCTATTCACAATTCTTTTCTATGCTATTGAACTTGATCTTCTTAGTTTTCTGATGCCAGAGTTTCCACTTCCCGTAACAGCACACGAGACCAAGTTGGTCACATTCAAATCCTTCCTACACCTCCTAATACCTCTCTTGTCTCCATGACTGACTTCCGGTCGGTGTTACATACTACTGACGTCTACAGACATAAGTAGCATACACCATGATATATACTCAGTTTATTTTTATAAAATAGGTCATGCTTAATGGTAACACACTCATCGTTAGATCTGAACGTAATCGTTTAATGTGATCAATATCCCGATTTTTGAACAAAAACGCACGACTGCCTAATGTATCTTGTATTTCCAGTGGTTCTCTTATCCCTTTAATATAAGTATCTTTGTTCGTTAAATCTTCAGAAAAACTTCTTTATATTGTCTTCGGTAAATTCCTTTTCCTTTTTGAAAAAAACCCTTCCACCAGATTGATGCTCATCCCATGAATGATTTTCTAGTTGGACAAACTGATACACGAGTTATTATTCGTTTAAATATACATGTAGGCAATATTTCTTTAGTGGATCAATTTGAATGGGATCTTTCTGAACCAAATAATTCACCAGAACAATTTGCTTCAAGACTTTGTGCTGAATTAGGTTTAGGTGGAGAATTTGTTACAGCTGTTGCTTATAGTATTCGTGGACAACTTGCATGGCATCAGAAAATTTATGCTTTCAGGTAATTACTTTATTTGGTTTTATAATATGAATGATGTTCTGGTTACCTTTTCACTCACTCACTCACTCACTCACTCACTCACTCACTCACTCACTCACTCACTCACTCACTCACTCACTCACTCACTCACTCACTCACTCACTCATTCACTTACTCACACACACATAGCATATTTTGTATTTTTCAGCAGCCTAGGTATAGTTTGTGTTTGTGTTTATTCATCATTAGTAATACCATTCTATTGTTTTTAACAATTTCCTCTATCATAACTGTTATGATTTCAATCGGTTCACTGTTGTACAATATCATACACTGTTTGTAGATGTATTCAAGATAATCTTATATTGATCAGTACTATGATACGGTATATTACATTGATACGTTTTACAGAATGTCATAAATTATCGACAAGACACACTAATAGTTACTATGGTATTTCACAGGGTAAAACAAATAGTCTAGTTATTTTGATTTAAATAATCTGGTACCCCACCTTACACACAGAGAATCTGTCTAGGTCAAGTACAGGGTCTGTTTATCATTACTGAGAATTATATAAAGCGTTAAAATTCATCAGATCATATCTGCTCGAAAAAGATGAAATAACCTGTTCACAGATTAACTGAACTGCAGATGATCAGTATCTTATTGTCATATTTGCATCCTTTGCGGATTGCCCCGATATTGCCACTAAGTCACAAGCCTTTAAAGCAGAGATAGATTGTGATGAACAGTGGTATCTAGGATGCAGATTTCGTTCTATTTAGGAATCATAGGTACACTCAGCTGACGAGTTCCAAGTAAGACGAAACGCGGGGCCACCATCCATCTCTGTTTAAAGCATCTATGATACTGTTATGTTATTATTATTCTGGTACATGTGTAGTGATTTACATTTGTACTGATCATTTTTTCTAAGAAGATGATGAAAACTTCATATAACACTCATTGACATCTAAAGTGTGTAGAATGTACAACTTGACAAGCAATTACACAACTCTCGGCTTTTCCCAAATGATGCAATGAACTGCTTACATAACTATATGTTATAACACTTTTTTAAGTTTCATTTTTACTCTTCCAGTGAATCTCCTTTACCGACAGTCGATGTAGTTTTCCGCAATTCAAATGAAGCTGATCAATGGAGTCCAGTTGTTGAAGTTCTTACTGATGCAGAAATGGAGAAAAAGATACGCGATCAAGATCGTAATACCAGGTAAGCATCACTATAGCTCCAATCATAGAAAGTTACAATCAAATAAATCATTAATGCATAGTAAAAGAATGATATTAATTGATATCTAAAGGAAGTCCTTTGAGTTTGACAAATCAACATATGTTGAATTCATGATATATCTTTAATAGTCTCGTGAATCCAGCAGATTTGACAGTGGACTATAATATACGAGCAAGCTTTAACCGACTCTAAGGTAATCTTGAATGTCCATGTAATAACTAGGTCTACATGAGAGTTATAAACCAGTATGGAGAATTAGAATTATGATTTACAGTTGATGGTTAAGATTAGAAATTAGACTTATGGTTTTTATCACGAAATGACATCAGTTATAATGTCAAACTAGTATTGAACCAAATAAGTGAATGAATTTCGCGCCATAGTCCAAGACTTGCTAATCTAAATCTGATTGGTTCTTCCATAAATAATAATCTTGCCGTTGAACTTGTGATATTTTCACATTCCTCATTATACACCATGCGGTAGAGAAAATGACCAATACAGGTTAATTTAAATATACTATTTTTAGTAGCTGTTGGGGATGTTAGATCCCCAGAATCCACTTGGTAAATACTTTACTTTTGTAATTCTATTTTGAATTTCTTGTTTTCGCGCCATAAGCACCCATTTTCGCCTTCATGTCGTATTTCCCACTTGGGAGGATCTTAAACGCTATTGGTTCGTTGTCTCTTTCAATATGCTATTTTGTAACGTTCCCCAAGGATATATATATATATATATATATATATATATATATACTTGAGTTGTGCTTGTTGTTTTTGTTCATGCTTCTGGCTGCTTGTGGAATATATTTACCTCTTCTGAACGTGAACTCTTTCTAGTTAGCAGGGTTGGGACACATCGGATTGGTCGTTGTATCACTGAGTCTTCGTTCTGTTCACAGATTAGGTGAATTTACAATCTCTTCAAGCATAGAAGTTTGATAGACATATCATTGTTAATTTTTCCTTTTTGTGTAAACAACTGAATAATTTTGATGGACGGAAAAATAGCTAAGATTGATTACATTTGTGTGACTATCTTCGTGAGGGGTTTCCCGGAGTTCTAGCGAGAAGCCGTGACCAGTGGAGCTAATCCGTGCCGGGTAGGGATAGGTATATACCTCAGTACAATGTAAGATGGTTGCTCAGTTTCGTGGATTGATTGAGGTTAAACATTGACACTATTTGACGCCGAATCAATGGTCTGGAGGTCAGGCGTTCGCGCGCGAAACTCAGGGCCCTGGGTTAGAATCCCGCAGGCGGGATCGTGGATGTGCACCATTGAGGAGCCCCACGAAACGGCCGTCCAGTACTTCTTGGTTTTCAATGGTGGTCTAACATCAATCTATTCATAATCTCAATAATATCCATAACCCTATACGGTTAATTATAAAATTTAGTCTTTTGTTTTCACTTATCATCGGTTCAGGCAAACAAACAAGCACATTGTTCCTATTTTTATCTTTCGAATTTATATCGAATGAGAAGTAAAGCCGACTAAATTCACTTTTATTGATGAGTTTCAAATTTATTTTAGGCATGTTTTGTTGTTAGTTCATATTATACATCCTAAACATACCATAAATACTCGTTTAGATTGTGATATGGCATCTAGTACTACTAGTGAAAATGTTTTACTGTCAATGAACAAAGGCCCATTCGCATTTATTAACCATAAATAATCATGTACACTACCTATTTTAAACAACTATACGTAGAACAAAATTGCGATCAGCTGACTTAATAACATGGCAAAAATCCATGAAGTCATTGGCAAGTGGACTGAGCCATGTTGGTAGGTATAGACTACCTGGTTGGGATCGGCGAGACGATAGAAACTGATGGCTAGAGACCTTGAATGACATGGCTCAAAATCGTTTGCAATGGTACAGGTGCATACACTCTTTGTGTCGTCCCGAATTCTTCATGTTGCCTTTTTTCTCTTTCCAAATTTATTTCACTGGATTATACTGTTTGAATAACATCTTCAAACCCTAATCTTTCCGACAACTGCTTACACTTTTAATACCTCTACAACTACGGGATTTGAATCGACAACTGCATCTCCGTGTTAATGTGGTATGATAACTCAAGTGATGTATGTACGTACGAAGTTCTACGTTGTTGCTGACTGATTGACTCTCCTATGTGTGAGTCTGATATGAAAGTTTTCGCAGTTCGTACGAAAAAGTTACTTCAAATAATCTTAACTCCTAGCAGATTACTTGATCTAAACTTTATTTGGATTATTTCGTCAACCATACATTCTTCATGTTTAAAAGTTTATATACCTATTGTATCCTCATTTTCACCATACATTTTTCTTTCCTTTCCCCAGACGAATGCGTCGTTTGGCCAATGCACAACCCAATTGGTAGACATTTTGTCTCCTGCAATGTTTTCAGTGTTGGTGTACACATTTCTTAAAACGTTTTGTAAACACTAATAATAACCTATTTATGTTAAATCAGTATCTTTTATTTTTGAGACAGTCATCTTCGAGTGTAGGACCAGGCACACATATACGTCGGTCCAAGTTGCCGTACCTTATGAGCACAACAAGATGAACACCAAATTCATAGAAGTAGTCAATTCACTAGTGGTAATGTATAACAAAAAGATTGTATCTATGGATGTGATACAGGGAGAAAGAATTAGTTCGTAGGAAGAAAAGGTATGAAGTATAAATTCATTTTGTATTGTTTGTTCGAATTTTCCTATTGGGTGTTTAGGACTGCAATTGATCAATCTCTTATTGTCATATGTGCATCTTGTGCAGACTACCTCGATATTGCCTTGAGTCACTAGCATTATAAGCAAACAACATCAACTCTAGGATGCAGGTACATCCCGAATAGGAAAAACTGTGCGTTCTAGATTCCACTGCTGGCCACCATCCATTTTTGCTTGTAAGCTACGAAGTAATTCCAATCTCACGGTTTAAGAGAAGACAAAAAGTGTATACACCCACGTTATTATGATCGATTCTGACCCATGTCACTCAGAATATCCAACCATTGGCTACGATAGTCTGCACCTATCAACAAGGCTCAGACCATAAGTTAGTGACTTTATAGTCTGATGCCACGTTCTGGTTTGGTCACCCCAAACTTTCTTCCGACCGTCTCCAATATTGGTCAGCATTGAGCGTCGTGGCAATCAGTGTCCAACCATCTCAGCTGATGAAGATTAACAACCTCATCAATGAATTTACCGTCATTCCCTAATACCCTGCGTCTAACATCATCATAAATAAACTTAGCAAATATGTTAGTTGGTTGATTCGGAAGAGTGTTTCCGCGATATTACTGATTAAGGTTTTCTATCGACAGCATTATATATAAAATAACAGCCTGAAAGAGATCGGTGATAATATTTCGCTAATTGAAATCATCTTTCTAAATGGTCAATTTTAAGAGAACACGCGTAGAGTAGTAGTAGTAGCGGTAGTTCATGCTGATTAATGTGTTTTAAATGAAAGCTACACTAACTGTATCCGTTGCCTCAACCAAAAACTAATTCGTTTAATATTGACATACATTTATTGCATATGAGCGGTCTGAATACACAAGTGTACAATGTGCTACCGAAAATGAAAATGTCCCATGACTTTTAGATGACTATCACCGATTCTGTGTTTTCCAGGGCTAAATAATTATGACATAAATCGGTACTATTCCTTTTCGAACTGACATTTGTATTAACATACTATAAACCTTGAAATCCCTAATATTCAAATACTTTCAGTAACAAATAAAATATTTGTAGAAAACTGATGTAAAAATCAATGTATTTTGGTAAATAGAAAATCACAGGAAAGTTAAGTTATTCATCAGATCATGATGAGTTTTTAGTACAACTTAGCCTAATATGAATTATATTCATCGATTATCCAATTGTCTTTCACGAATATTCACAGACTCGTCAAATTTAATCACATAAGCAGTTCCCTTGTACCAGGTTGCAGTAACTGTACAAGGCTATAGAGAAAAAAAATAAAGAAAGGCAATTTACTGCTTAAGGTGAAATATCCAATAAAGTTTTCATGTATTATAGAACATACTTAAAATTTGTATATTCATAATAAATATTTACTATCTTTAACTCTCTTTCTTTTTGATGGAGTTTCGTTCTCTACGCTGAATGGTTTGATTATGGAGTATTCATCGTTTTTGTGAACAACTTCATCAACACAAACTTTTTGATTAATATTGACTAAGACTGTTTTTTCTTTAGTGAATCGACTTTACAAATTATAAGTTTTAAAGAGGGTTTCCCAATAAGTCAAATTTTTTTAATCCTTATAATGTGAATGCTAATTTCATGATTGAAAAAAAACTTTATTTGATCACATAAACGTTGGTACAAGGGGGCACCACATAAATCATTCGATTCATGTGAGGGCTGTGATACTGCCCGGGTGCTCGAGCCGAAGCGGATGGTTTCCTTAGGGAGCACACCCGGAGCTTTTTTTCTAGTTCTATCCAATTGTTATTCATTCTTCTCATGTCTGTCTCCGTTTCTTGACGTAATGTGTTCTTCGGTTTTCCTCTTCTCCCTTGACCTTGAGGATTCCAAGTGAGAGCTTGCTTTGTGACATAGTTGGGTGCTTTCTTCAATGTGTGTCCTATCCACTTCCAGCGCTTCTTCCTAATTTCTTCCTCAGCTGGAATCTGGTTTGTTCTTTCCTACATTAGGTTGTTGCTGATAGTGCCTGGCCAACAGATCCGAAGTATTTTGCGTAGACAACTGTTAATAAACACTTGTATCTCTTGGATGATGGCTTTCGTAGGTCACCAAGTTTCCGCTCCGTACAGTAGAACTGTCTTGAGATTTGTATTGAAAATTCTGAGTTTGGTGTTGGTCGACAGACAGTTGTTTTGAGTTCCAGATATTCTTCAATTGCAGGTATGCTGCTTCTACTTTGCTGATCTGCATCAGACCCACTGTGTTCACCAATGATGCTGCCCAGGCATATAAAGGTATTTACATCCTCCAAATCTTCTCCCGTCAAGTGTGATTCGGTTGTTGCGTGGTGTATTGTATCGGAGAATCTTGCTTTTCCCTTTGTGTGTGTTGAGACATACTGCTGCTGAGGCTGCTGCTACACTGGTCGACTTCTCTTGTATTTGCTGTAGCTTGTGCGATAGAAGAGCCAGATCATCCAACTACATACTAGCTGTCCACTGTATCCCGTGCTTTCCCCAGATGTTGACTTCTTCATAATCCAGTCGATCATCAGAAGAGATAGGGTGAGAGTAAGCAACCCTGCTTGACACCAATCTTTACTTGGAACGAGTCTGTGAGCTGACTTCCATGCGCAATTTTGCAGTTTAATCCATCACAAGTATTCCGTATGATGTTGATTATATTCTCTGATAGCCCGTAGTGTTGAAGAATCATTCATAATATTGTCCTATCTGTGCTATCCAGTTATAATAGTAAACGATATGAATTCGAATTTTTCAAGTGTTAATGTATGATATTTTTATTACCTGAAATGCTTCAGTAATACTGTGGTGTGTGTTATTGGTGCCGATAGATATAAGTAATATGTATCATCAATCGAAAGTGAAATAACTGGCTGCATAAAGTTAAGAAGATCGAGGAAAAGAGAACAAGGAATGATTGGTGTGGAAACGAAAGAACAATGAAGTCTGAGACGATTGATTGACATTTTACAAATGAAGTATTTACTGTATGGTTCTCAGATTTTACTAAGATATTCTGTAATTTTATATTTAAATACATGCAATTATTTTCACTTGTGTTTTCGTTCACTACATATGGTATCGCTACCAACCACAAAGAGGGGAAGGGTGCTGTTCTGGGGACGCCGATGCAGGCTTGGCACTGAGGTACTAGTTGGTGTGATGTGCTACTTATATCGACACAAGCAGTATGTAACACTAGTTAGGAATAGGATGTCTCACAGCAGAAGATCCAGGAGGAAAGAACGGGAACAGAAAGCAATTGGTATGGAAATGAAGGAACAGTCAAGTTTGAGACGATTGATTGACATTTTTCAAATGAAGTATTAGAACAATACATGTAAGCGAACAATATTGTTTTCAATTAGATCGTCACTAGGCTTCACTCTAATATACATGAATAGTTATTACGAAAATGTTAAACCAATCAAGGCAATATGGGTCGATAATCACAATGAAATAGAAGTCATCACACATAATAGGTAAAAGTGCAAGTTGATAGTAGGAAGACAGGTGTACTGATAGTAATAAGAATAATAAAATAAAACACGATAAAAGTCATATCAAATAGTCAAACATTGGAAATAAAAGGTCCAACGTACATAAATAAAATTAAAATGGTCATTACCAAACATTAAAACCATTACGTAATAAGAAGTGAGCAAATAATTAGATAGTGAAGGATACAAACAGAAATTACAAACAAACACTAGATATGGAAATAAGGTTAGTGATAACAAAATTAAAGTCTACTAGTATAGGGGTTGCGGAGATTATTATGTTTTTGATTGAGATCATGAACCGATTGATGTTAGACCACCACCTTTGGAAACCTGGAAGCACTGGACGGCCGTTTCGTCCTATTGTGGGACTCCTCAGCAGTGCGCATCCACGATCTCGCTCGCGGGATTCGAATTCAGGGCCTTCGGTCTCGCGCGCGAACGCATGATCTCAATCAAAAACGTAATAATCTCCACAACTCCTATACTAGTAATCAACATGTGCTCACTAGTGACTAGCTTCGTGAGGGAATTCTCGGAGTTCTAGTGAGAAGCCGTGATCAGTGGAGCTAATCCATAACGGGTAGAGACCGGTATCTACCTCAGTACAATGGAAGTTTGTCGTGCAATTTCGTAGATTGGTTGATGTTAGACACTATCACCATTGGATGCCGGCTCAGTGATCCAGTTGGTTAGGCGTTCGCACGTGAGATTGAAGGCCCTGGGTTCTCTAATCCCACGAGAGGGATCGTGGATGCGCAGTGTTGAGGAGTTCCACAATAGGACAGAACGACCGTTCATCGCTTCCAGGTTTCCAAAGGTGGTGGTCTAAAATCAATCGGTTCATGATCTCAATCAAAAAAAAAAAGTTGTTTGTTAAGATATAACTGGCCACAAAAGGGATAGGGGGGTTACGAATTTCTTCTGTACACATAAATTGGGGTTATATGTACGAATTCCCATGGCTTCAGCTATATGTAGGAGGCTGGAACGAACTCCGTTGGGATACGATGGAGGTACATGATAGATCACACAAAATGCTTCAGATTAGTCTACAGTATGACCACCATGAATAAAATATGCCAAGATAGAACTGTGTATTGTTTATATCTGACCCTTTATAAACTAAGGTGGTAGATGTTCATTCATTCGTTGGTTAAGTTGACAGGTAGTACGCCCGATATAGCTGTCGTAACAGGAGCAGCTGCATTTGTAAATGCATATTGAAGACGCCAACTCAGGTAACTTATCCTTCGTTGGTCGACTCGAGAAGTTCAATGCAAGATTGACTGCGTAGAATGTCCTGCTAATTACTTTCGTTAACCTATCTTTGAATTGTAGTTTCATGTACAAAGACTTTTTTCGAACAGTAGAAATCTCCAACTTCTTTTTTAATAATATACACGTACTTCTTAATGAACGCACCGGGGTAGCCGATCTCGGTCAGTGAGTTGTTAACTATAAAGTTTTCAGATTTTAGCAAGATATTCTGTAATTTTGTGTTGAAGCACAATCGATTGTTCCCACTTATGTGTTCTTGTTCACTATAATACAAGCTACCTTCTATATCTAAATAATCATTAAATCTAGAAAGCCTCCAAATGCTCTCACATGGCCACGCGTATATAGCCTCTGCCAGGGAAGTCCTACTCACTGCCTTCTCGTGGAGCCGGTGTTGTTTACGAAAATGAGAGGACGAAAAGCGAATGTCCGGCGCTTTAACTGGGTTGTTGGATATGGAGAGTCCACATAGGGGAGTTGGAAAACCCTTATTCCAAACCAATGGTACACATGGGTTCCAGTATCCTGAATGAACAAATGACGTATGAACCAATCGTTGCTCACCTGTTAACATGGGACTGTATCTCCTCACGATGCTCCACTGCCTTGTGGATTAGACCTTTAGGTCGAAGGCTCCGTGTGTAAGCCCTTAAGAAAACCACCTGCTTCGGTTAGGGCACCCGGGCAGTATCATAGCCTTTGCATAAATCAAATGATTTATGTGGCGCATATGTATTTGGTGCCTCATTGTACCAATATTTATGTGTTCAAATAAATATTAAATTCTAGAAAACAAAAACAAAATAGTTTACAATATAAATAACTTACAAAACCAATAGTTGATAAGAATGCTTCAACAATTCCAGCATTAAACGCTGCAATATTCAATGGAGCAGCTAAAATGTATTGAATGAAATATAATTAATTAATTAATTAAAAAGGAAAAAAATGATGTGTAGGTGAGAATGATAATGATTGATTGTTTGCCTAGTTAGTCTGACGGGTGTCAGATGAGTTATATACTTCCCCTATCCTTATTATTGATTGATTGACTGATTATTGATTGCTGTTGGTTTGTGTCGGGTTTTTAGTGTGGCATTCTAGTCAGGCTAATCATATGTCCTTGATCATCTGTTGGGATATTCAGGAAAATATCCCAGGAATTATCCTATTTAGCCTAATGCTATTCTTGGACTTGGACATGGTATTATTTTCTTATTGGTCAGTACTTATTTCACGTGTCATTTTCCTACTGGCCAATATTGTACAATGTTATTTTCTATTTTATGGTATGATGTGGTTTGTTTGACTGGTATATAAACAAAGTATGTTTGAAATATAACGATTCATACATCCGAGGCTGTGACTTGCGTTCTGGACTCAACTACTGGGCTAGATAGGGAAGCGGGACCAATCAGAACCCTAGGTCGTTCTACGTGTCTGCGCGTCTTTGGTCCGATCGATAAATCGCAACCCTCTAATCAGCTGCTACTGTCTCACAGATATAACATCATCTATCTGAGTTGTATTGAAGTCCTGTAGAATAGACACACATTCGGATTGGGGGATGGGGTGGGGGTGAAAATCTAGTGTAGATATTCATCTAAGATAAATGTGTAATAATTTCACTTCTATTTGAAATTTTCGCTGATGATGATGTCGTTCAAAAGAAGAATGATGAAAGCTCCATGACTGAACTATTCAGCTCAAAGAATAAAACTCCATTCATTAGACGTAATAAAAAAAAACCTATCGTTATCATAAAATAAAGAAGAACAAGAAAGAGAAACTTACATGTTTTACGTTTTTCATCTTTTTCTTCATAAGTAAATCGAGTAAATCGATTCACAATTGGTTCATGTTCAATCATATAAACTAAAAGAAAAATGAATTCAATATACATATTTTAATTTTACAAATATTTTCATCAATTCCATCACGTTCTAATTCATCAGCTTCTTTATTGAATAAATTTTTCCAAAAATTTGATTTTAAAAAAATTAATGCATTATATAAACGTATATCACGTTTAGTTGATTTATCACGTAGATAAACAACATCAATCATACGTTCACCAACAAATTTACCAAAATCTGATAATCTATTAAAAAGAAAAAGAAAAACAATTTTTTTTTTAGGTTAGTGTTTGTTTATGATGAGATGGGGAGTCGATGATCTCATACACCAACCTACACTCTTTGAACTGGGTTACGAATTGGGGCAGTAATTAAAAAAGACTACTGGTTGGTATTTGTTTTTTTTAATAAGGTTGTTTTCTACGAGATGGAGTTGGGAATCTTATGCCCAACCCTCCTTGTGTTACTCGAGCTTGGTATTGGGGCTAAACAGGGGGAGTTATAATTTAAAAAAAAAGTAGGACTATAGAAATTGTTAATGATCTGGTGGTACAGTTGATAATGGAGAGGAACTAATCGAAATGTTCTCATATCGGTTAGTGGTTTATTTATTATAACACATAAATATTGGGACAAGGAGGCACCAAATACATATGCGCCACATAAATCTCATTTGATATGTCTGCGGGATGTGATACTGCCCGGGTGCTCAAACCGAAGCAGGTGGTTTTCTTAGGGGGCCATACCTGGAGCCTTCGATGTAAAGATCCGATCCACAAGGTAGTGGAGCATCATAAGGAGATGCACTCCCATGGTAGCCGGTGACCAACGATTGGTTCATACACCTTTTGTTCCCACAGGATACTGGAGCCCATGTGCACCATTTGTTTGGACTGAAAGTTTTCCAACTCCCCTAGGTGGACTCTCCATGTCGACCAAACCGGTTAAAGCGCCGTACATTCGCTTTTCTTCCTCTCAATTTCGTAAAGAAGATTCATCTAAAGGTATTGGGAAACCCTGATTTCAAACTAATGATGCACATGAGTTATAAGATCCTAAGAGAACAAATGAAGTATAAACTTATTGTTGGTCACCGGCTAACATTGGATTGCATTTCATAGCGTTGCTCTACTGTCTTGTGGATTAGACCTGTAAGTCAAAGGTCCACAACGTGTCTCCCTAAGAAAACCATCTATTTCGGTTTGGACACACGAGAGGTATCTCAGCCCATAGATATTGAATGATAACTATTTATGCGGTGCATAGAAATCTTTGTGCCCCTTTCCACCAATGTTTATGTGCCTAAATAAATAAATAAGTTTAGTAAGAGACTGTATGATGAGTGCTAGTGATGTTGACAGAAATAAGTAGTATGTATCATCAATTGAAAGTGGAAAGCACGGCGAGAGAAGGTTGAAAGAATCAAAGAGAACGAGAACAGAGAGTGACGAAGGAGCAACAAAGTCTAAGACGATTGACGGATATTTTGAAAATAAAGTATCACTGTATGTTTCTCAGATTTTACGAAGACATTCTGTAATGATTGTTCCTACCTGTAATCTCGTTCACAACAACTGTATAGTAAGTTGAATAACATGTATCTGAAAGTGTTCTGGCATTTAAAGGTTAGACGGCTACCACCAATTATACTTGACTTCGCATGGAGCCACTTTGAGGCTACCGCCGATCCCAAGCCCGTATAAAAGAGGAGAGTTGGACATGAAGTTAGCGACCCCATCCCGTAGGAAACTAATTCGCTAACCACAACCAAATTATACTTAACCTCCAAATCACATTATGAATGGAATTTTTCCTGGCTTTAGTATAAATTATTCACGTTACACAGGTAAAACTTACCTTTTCTGAACAAGATCCATACTGGATACATTACGCATTGAATATTTAACTAACTCCACAAATAAATAAGCAAAAGATGCTATATTAACCTAAAGAAATTTATATAGTATAAGAAAACTACAACTTACATCACCACGTAGTTTAGTCAAACTTTTTTCTAAAATTGCAGCAGAGTTTTTTGGATTACCATAATTCATATTGACAAATCTATTTAAAAAAACATGGAACAAATCGATAGATACACAGTAATTATGAACAACAACCATTGCCAGAGAAGTCCTACTCACTCCCTTCTCTCAGCATTACTATTGTTTACGAAATTGAGAGGGCGGAAAGCGAATGTCCGACACTCTAACCAGCTCGGTAGACATAAAGGGTTCACCTAGAGGAGTCAGAAAACCATCATTTCAAATTAATGGTGTACATAGGCTCCATGAACCTGAAGGGACATATGGCGTATGAACCAATCGTGGGTCACCTTTTACCATATAACAACATCTCCTTACGCTGCCCCATTGTCTTGTGGATTAGACCTTTAGGTCTAAGGCTTCGGGATGTGGCCCCCTAAAGAAACCAACTGCTTCGGTTCGGGCGCCCGGGCAGTATCCCAACCCTCGCATGAATCGAATGATTTATGTGACGTATAACTAGTTGGTGCCTCCTTGTACCAATGTTTGTGTTTAAAAATAAATAAATAAAAAACAAACGATTACCCAAGTCTATAACAGGATAATAAATGACAGAGTCGATATGTTACAGAGATTATTTTTTACCAGAAATTAAAAAAGTTGACACAATAACAGACTGTAAAGATGGTCACGAAGATTGCGAGGTAAAAGCCGGTTGTTTGTAGTAGACGATTAATCCCCTTCATCTGCTAGTAATATCAAACACATACCAGGAGATTTAGTTGGATATGTCTTTCCTGCTTTGTTTTTAACACTCCACTCCCTAATCTCAGGTCGTGCACTCCACAAACGCCTCATCAGCTCAGGAGTGATGGGATCAAAAAAATCTTGTCCACACACTATTAATGGAATTTGTCAAGACATTCGATACTGTGAGATCGTTTACTTTTGTCTAAGAATAATGTTTACCAAAATCTATTAATTGACAGTATCTCAGGCAAAAGTTTTATTCTCTTATACTTCTAGGGGGGTATCATAAGAAAAATTCACAAGTGGAATGGATCAAATGAAATAAAGAGCACTTTGTCATATGCAATCGCCTTTTCTTTCAAAAAGAAAACAACAAGTATGCGATCCTAAATTCACAGACATTCACACGTCATTATTGAATAAGTAGTCAGAAAAAGAGAACCAAACAATTACTTCTGAATAGATGTATTATTCGAAATAGAACAAAAATCAAATGTATATACATAGTCAATTTATCACAACATTTCAATGACATATAGAATCAAGTAAGAGAAAACGTCTTGTATAGATCCAAATCTGTAAATTTCCATGCGGAACAGATTCCAGCTATTATAAGTATCGTATAACCCATGTAAAATGCCTATAATAGTAAGAAAAATAAGATTGATAATAAAATGAAAACATGTATATATATATACGTATATATGAGCATAGAGATGAAGATGATATCATTCGTCGAAATCCCTTGTTTCACATTAGTTGCCACTACCTTTTTTCATTACGCCTGTTAATCCTAATGGAGCATAGGCTGCCGAGCAGAATTCTCCAACCAACTTTATACTTCAATCTCCTTCCCAGTTGTTGCCAAGTGTTATTCATCGTTTTAATATCTGTATCCAACTCCAAGCCCAATGTCTTCTTCGGTCTGCATTTTTCATGTTGTCATCCAGATGTTAAGTTAGGGCTTGCACCATGATGAAGTTTCATGATTTCCACAATGTATTTCCTACCCGCCTTCAGCGTTTCTTCCTAATTTTCTCTTCAGCTGGAAGCCGATTTGTTCCCCCCCCCCACAGTAGGTTGTTTCAAGTGATAACCAGCTAACGGACATTGGGTATTTCACAGATAGAAATCATGAGTCAGTTGAAGCTAGACCACCATTGAAAACCTGGAAGCACTGAACGGCCGTTTCGTCCTAGTATGGGACTCCTCAGCAGTGCGCATCCACGACCCCGCACCACCCGGGGCTCGAACCCAGGACCTACTGGCTTCGCGCGCGAGTTCAACCAGGTCTGTTGTGAGATAGTAACTCACTGAAGACAATGGTGTACGGTAGCGCAACTTCGTGGATTGGTTGAAGTTAGACATTAACACCGTTGGATGCCGGCTCAGTGGTCTAATGGTTAAGTGCTCGCGTGCGAAGCCAGTAGGTCCTGTGTTCGAGCCCCGGGTGGTGCGGGGTCGTGGATGCGCACTGCTGAGGAGTCCCATACTAGGACGAAACGGCCGTTCAGTGCTTCCAGGTTTTCAATGGTGGTCTAGCTTCAACTGACTCATGATTTCAATCAGTGGAATTTGTAAAATCTCCACAAAACCCATTCTGACATTGGGTATCTTGAGTAGACAATTGTTTATAAATACTTGACTTTCGTACTTGACGTTAATATTGAATAATATTGGATAAAATTTGTTTTGAATTCCATATGCTCTTCAACTGTAAGAATGCTGCCTTTGATTTTCCAATAATTGCCTTCACGTCTGCATCAGATCCTCATTGTTCATCGATGATGCTGACCAGGCACGTGTAAGTTTCCACATCTTCCAGAGTTTCTCCATCAAGGGTAATTGGGTTGGTGTTCTTCATGTTGCATTTAAGGAACTTGGTTTTTCTGGTGAGTATGTTGAGGCCTACTGTTGTAGAGACTGTTGTTACATTCGCTGTCTTTATCTGTGTATAGGATAGAAGAGCTAGATCATATGCGAGGTCGGAATCGTCTAGCTGCATGCAAGCTGTCCATTACACTACGTGCTGCCCCTCAGTTGTGGAGGTCTTCATAATCCAGTCGACCAGTAGAAGAAAGAAGAATCGGAGTAAGCAGCTTTGTCTGACACCAGACCCTACTTGGGATGCATCTGTCAGCAGTGTAGTTCATCGTAAGAAGTCAGTGTGATGTTGACGATCTTCTTATGTACACCATAGTATCGAAAGAGGTCCATATATCCACACTGTCAAACGCCTATTCATAATCAAGGAGGTTGATATACAGTGATGAGTTCCACTTAATAAATGGTTCAAAAATGATCAGTAGTATCGCGATCTGTAAGCCAGGATAAACAATGGCCGATTTTATAAGCCATAATTAATAGCCATATACTGATGAAGAAAAAACCGTTCCCAGGTGCACTCACCCATTGATTGGCAGACGGACATTCCATCTGTACTACAGGTAGCAGAATTTTCAAAGGGTAAATCAAGTTTTCTGTATATATGTTAGTGTTTTTTTAAGTACGGACCCAATAGAGAAGTTGAGGCTTCAACTACAAGTGAGGTAGTCAACGCACTGGCACAGATTAGATCTAAAACAACATTTTGTATTTAAAATATGAGAAACTCATCCCAAACATTCTTGTATGATTTCTTTAGGCATAAGGTATATATAATAAACTGAACCCCGTTTCCTATGCGCTGTAGTGACAAATGAACGTGAATCTTTATGAAACTGTGAAGAATATGCAGTTGGCTATAGACCAAAAGTCCTGCATCCGATTCCCGCGTGTGAGATTTCGGACACATACCACAGCCACTGAGGAATCCCATACTAGAACAGAAAAATCATTCCATGCATCTAAATCTTAAATAGTGGTCTACTTAGATCGACTTATAAATTCATAAGCATCTATCAAACAGTGTACATTGTATGAGTTACTAATACTATGTCCCTAAATGTCCTAGCACAGCCGAGGGCCGAGAGAGCTCTCCTTCTCCAAATGCTCTCTCACATGACCATGTGTATACAGCCACTGTCAGGGAAGTCCTACTGATTGTCTAATCGTGGCGGATGGATTTTCTACGAACTTGAGAGGACGAAAAGCGAATGTCCGATGCTTTTAACCAGGTTAGTGGATATAGAGAGTTCACCTAAGGAAGTTGCAAACTCTCAATCCAAATCAATGGTGTACATGGGCTCTAGAATCCTCAGGGAACAAATTGTTGGTCACCGGCTACCATGGGACTTCATTTCCTTACGTTGATCCACTACCTTATAGATTACACCTCTAGGTCAAAGTCTTGAGGAGTGACCCACATGTTCCGGTTTGAACACCCAGGCAATATTCCAACCCTCACACATATCATCAAGTGACTTGTGTATTGCATATGTATTTGATGCCTTCTTGCATTCACATTATAAAATAAAATATACGTATATTATATGTTATTCAAAATAAATTTACTAACCAATGTTTTATCACTTCGTAATGAATTAATCCATGTATATATACTAAATTGATTTGGTTTTACCCCAGTAGTATAATTTATTTTAGATAATTGAATTGAATTTTGTATTAATAAAGGTAAAGATGATAAATTGAAATTATTATTTGAGAAAACAATAGAATCCAATGGTCCAGAATCAATAATGATACCACGCATAAAAAATTTATCACATTCTGTGATACGTACAAGGACTATACGACCATAAACATTCGGATCTTTTGGTAATAAAATCTATGAAAATAAGCATAGAAATTGGAATAATAATTAAACGAATGTAAGTATTATTAGGGAAGTTATTTCACACCACCCCAAAAGAAACAAGAAACAAAATATATGATGTGTGGACGAGAACGGTAGTGATTGGTTGTCTGTCTGGTCAGACAATGTAGATAGTTTGTGTCGGGGACGTTAGGTCCCCAGAACTTACTTGAGAAAAGACCTAATTTTGTAATTTTATTTAGAAAATTTCTTTGTTTTCGTGCCAAAGGCGCTTTTGTCACCTTTATGTCGTATTTCCCACTGAGAAATATCTTAAATGCTATTGGTCCGTCGCGTCTTTTAGTATGCTATTTGGTAACTCTCTCTAAAGATGGTTTTGCACTGTATATATACGTTTTGAATTATGTTTGTTATCGCTCGTTTCTGGCTGTTTTGTAGAATATACTTCCCATTCCAAGCTTTGACTTCTTCCTCTAGTTAGCGGAGATGAGACGCATCAAATAGCTAGCTTACTGGTCTTTGGTCACCGAGTCTTGTTCTCGTTCGCAGATTAAGTGAACTCGTCAGAGCTTCAAACCTAACAGTCTGACAGGTGTCAGATGAGTTATATATTCCCCCCTATCCTTATTATTGATTGATTATTGATTGCTGTTGGATTGTATCGGATTGTGTTGAGTTTTTGGTATGGAAATATATTGACATTGTAGTCAGGCTAATCAAGTGTTCTTGATCATCTGAGTAGTATTGAAGTCCTCTAAAACTGACACACTGGAAGGGAATCTAGTGTACATATTTAAGGCAAATTAACTTGCCATACGTGTAAACGTGGGATATTATAGTAATTTTAATGGTTAGATCATGAGTCAATTGAAGCTAGACCACCATGGAAAACCTGAAAGTACTGAACGGCCATTTCGTCCTATTATGGGACTCATCGACAGTGCGCATCCACAATCCTGCACGCGGACGTGGATTCCAATCTGTGTCGGGTGTGAGACAGTTATCCACCTCAGGCAATAGATGAAGGGTTGAGCACAATTCAGTAATGCTGGATGGAAAGAAAACTTTAAGCCCATTCTTTGTCCTCATGATTCAGACGAATATAGGCAATGAAATCAAACAGACACTCTGGACTCGAGTCTCGCGTGGGGGATCGTGGATGCGCATTGCTGAGGAAGTCGATACTAGGACGAAACGGTCGTCTTGTCCTTTCAGGTTTTTAATGGTGGTCTATTTTAGAATGACTCGTGAATTCAACTTTGAAAATATTCAATATTAATAAAAAAATAGTTTTAAAATGAGTTAACCTGATACATCAAGAACCATGAAAACCTCATGGAACATATTGATTTTTCTTGATGATAAAATGACAAAAAAAGACATCCATCCAAAAAGCAACAAGCAATATAGGCATGTTGATAATTTGCATTAATAATTTACACATACTTGTTCATAAGCTTTTGTATGACCAACCCAAAATTTACCATCAAAACTCGGTTCAGTAATAAGAACACGAACTTCACAACCGATACGACCATCATAAGTTCGATAACTTCTGAAAAGATCATGTAATCTACGTGTACGAGATTTTACTTCAGAAGAACTAGCTTTTCTATAAATAAAGAAAAACAATAATAGAATATCGTTAAAATAATATTCGAATCTTATTAATTGTTTGACTATCTTCACTAACATTACAATCAACTATGTTCTTACTTAAAAATAAACATACAATACATTCTGTATTAATTTTGGTCAGTGTTTGAACGAGGTGTCACAGAAGTTGAGCGTCATTTATACAGAAGACATTGGAAGCAAAAAGATTTTTTTCAGTATAGAATTTTGTGAAAGTTGTGGAATTTATCATAGTTCAAATTACGAAACAAACTAAGCAAAATAACCATTGAAAACCACGAAGCACTGGACAATTGTTCTATCCTAGTATAGGACTATTGAACAGTGCGAACCAACGACTCGGACACAAGCAACGAAACTATGAAAATTCTACAATCGCGAGACGCTCACGCAATGTCGTCAACTGACTGAAGTTATATATGTAAACCATTAGATACCGGCTCAGTGATTTAAAGGTTGAGCACTCACGCACAAGACCGAATGCCCTGAGTTCGATTCCCGGGTTGAAAGGTTGTAGATTGGCATATTATGATGAAACAGTTCTACAGTACTCCTAAGCATTTAATGGTATCAAGAGTGAGCTCAATCTACGCAAAAGCACCAGCATTCGTATGGTATTTCAAGTGGTATGTACGCAATTCTCTTTGGTTATCTAGTAATGATCGCGGAACAAAGTCGATATTCCGATTGTTGGGGTAACATTCACAACTTAATGATTATCATTCTAACAAAATCACCTTTTTTTACCACTGCTATTTTTGATTCTTTTTTACGATGCACAGAAAATCGGTAGTGTTAGCTGACTAGATTTATTGTTTTTCGTAATTTTTGAAAGGTATGTCCCAACCGAATTAGGTCAATCAAATGGATCGTGTTTTCCAGATCAATAAAATAGTTCCAATGAAAATGATATAGTTGAGAATAATCTTTCAATAAACAATTATTTTCTGTAGGTCAATATTGAATAAATAAAAGGGGGATGAAAATGTAATTATCCTACTTCGTTATTTCATAGTGGTAATTCAAATGAAAAATAGATAAGAATGTGCAATATACCTTGGTGCCCCCAACTTTCGTGGTATGGTCGAGAGTGGGGAGAGTCAGCTCCCTCTAGAAATGCTCCCACATGACCACTCGTTTACATCCACTGCCAGGGAAGTCCTACTCAATCCCTTTTCGCAAAGATGGGGTGTTGTTAACAAAATTGAGAGGACAAAAAGCGAATGTACGGTGTTCTAATCGGGTTAGTGGATATAGAACATCTATCTGGAGGAGTTAGAAACCCTCGTTTCAAACCAATGGTTCACATGGACCCCAAGATTCTGAGGGAACGGATGGCGTATGAACCGATTGTCGGTCACTGGCTACCATGGGACTGCATCTCCTGACGTTGCTCCACTGCCTTGTGGATTAGACGTTTAGGTCGAAGGCTCCAGGTCTAGCCTCCTAAGAAACCACCTGCTTCGGTCTGGGCACTCGTGCAGTATTACAGCCCACACACAAACAATGTGATTTGTGTGGAGCATATGTATTTGGTGCCCTTTTGTATCAATATTTATGTGTTCAAATAAATAATAAATAAATAAAGCTTCACTAGAAAGAACACTGTTTAGCTAAGTGACCAGAGATATAAAAAAGTCGACAAATTACATAGATAATTCGAAGGAAACTTAGAACTGATCAAAGATGAAATCTCAACGACAGTAGTAACGAGCTATTCAATCCTGAATGAAATTCAATGACGTGATATTCAGTTGAATGATAGATATACATAATTCACACTGAACTCAATCAACACCGTAGATTAGATGGTATGATAAATTAGAGAATATTTATTCTTTAAATAATAGACTGTTATACAATTCACTGAACGGCAGACTTTGAATTAAACCCGTTCCGTGAAGATTACATATACTGTGTTGTATGCCACTGATGTCTGTCGACATAAGTAGTATGTAACACTAATCAAAAGTTGAATAGCTGGCAGCAGAAGGCTAAGATGTAATTAAAGAGGATAGAAAGAGAAATAAAAATGAATTGTGAACTGGAAGAATCATATAGAGTGTGAACGACAAATGATGGAAGTTTGCAAACGAAGTATTCAGTATATGATTGTCATATTTTACAATGCTACTGAAATTTAAATTCCTGATGCAAAATTTAGTCATTACTAAATAACTGAAATTTGAGTGTGACAATTTACAGGATCACACATTTTCTGGTTATGAACTGGAAGCCTAAAAATCTCAAAGGAACACTTAGAAATGTTTCCAAGCAATAATATTTATGATTGAGATCATGGACCAATTGATGTTGGACCACGATTGAAAGCACTGGAAGACCGTTTTGTTCTATTGTGGAACTCCTCAACAGTGCGCATTCACGATCCCGCCCGCGGGATTCGAACCCAGGTCTTTCAGTCTCGCGCGCGAAACGACCGTGCTTCTGTTATATCTTGAAAGTTGATTTCTTGATACACCGCGTATAACAGAGCACTAGAACACCAAAACCCTTCCAAGTCGCAATAAGAAGACAGAAGACAGATGAAAGGAATATTATTCCAAACAGTGTCAATCACAGAACAAAATTATCAGGTATTTATAGTTTTTAGTGAGAACGAAATCATCATTACAGTCCTCCGATCCGCATACAGGGGGCTATTAGCAGTATCCAATCGGGAAGCTACACGTGGGAATTCTAGAATATCCTACCGAAAGATGATTAGATGGAACGTTTTCGGCTCCTTCTGAGCCTCTTACAGCTTCCTCGAGTTCACCCGTGGTCCGTCGTCACAGCTTCCAGGTTTTGAATGGTGTTCCAACGTCAAACGGTTCATGATCTCAATTAAAAACATAATAATCTCCACAACCCCATGCTGATAATAATAATATTTATGAAATATAAACAATTAACAGAAAAAAATTCCCAATTTTAGAAAATACCTTGGCATATTAGCGGCAGGTGTACCGGGACGTGGAAAGAACTGATTTATATGTAATACAGGAAATTGATACTTTTCAATTAATTCAACAGTTTCATTAAAATCGTTATCCGTTTCAGTTGGGAAACCGCATATCACATCAGTGGCAATTGTAAGCGCCCCAGATCCATTTACAGTATCATGTGGTGCACCAGGAGGTCTAATAATAAACAATGAAGATTAAAGATAATGGAGAAAATCCGTGGACAAATAATTAGTAGAATGTAAGTAAATCGTTTGTTTTTTCAAATCGGTTCATGATCTTATTTATGACTTGACAACCTCCACAACCCTATACTTACGCGTGTTAACCCTCGTGGAGGAGCATAGGCCGCTCACTAGCATTCTCTATCGACAACCTTATACTGATAACTATAAATAAGATGAGTTATTAGGGCTTACAACCTCGTTAAAGTGTACATATGAACAATCTTTAAAACAACTTGGCAAAAGCTGAATATAAAATGTTACATTGACCAGTGTTTTAGATGTAGTCCATCCATATATGAAATACGTTGATTTTTATTAGCTTAATACAATCAACCATCAACTGATTCAAACCATTAGACTTGTTACATCGTCCAAATTAACAAAAGAGAAAATCCGAAACCAGTAAAACAAAAGTGTACTATAAATGTGTTATATCTAGAACTTATATTCTTGATCTACCGCGTATAACTTGAGCACTTGAACGCTAGAATCCTCCCAAGTCGCAAATGAGAAGACAAGAGACATGTGAAAGGAATGTTATTCCAGACATTGTCAAATTATAATACAAAACTTTCAGGTATTTATAGTTTTTTTTTAGCAAAAACGAAATCCAATCCGCACATAGGCGGTTATTAGCATTGTCCAATCGGGAAGCTACCGTCCTCACAAACTACAACAAAATTTAAACCTGATAATCCAATTTCGAATGATTTGGATTATCTCATTGTTGATTGTTATTTTTTCTCTTTCCCATGTATATTACGATGAGACCAGTCACGTTATATCAGAACCAGGATGGACGACCCAGAACAAAGAACACGATGAAAATTAGATAATACATTGTTTAATACAATTACAAGTAATACGACATTTGTTCCCAAAGGATACTGGAGCCCATTTGCACCATTGGTTTGGAAACACGGTTTACCAACTCGCCTAAACAGACTCTTCGTGTCCACCAACCCGGTTAAAGTGCCGAACATGCGCTTGTCGTCCTCTCAATTTTGTAAACAATAGTAATGCCGTGAGAAGGCAGTGAGTAGGACTTCCCTGGCAGTAGTTGTATGCACATGGCCATGTGAGAGCATTTCGAGAGGGAAAGCTAACTCGCCCCACTCTCGGCCATACCAGGGCATTTCGAGGTCTATAAACGGACAAATCTTAATACATATCGATTAAAATCGGTACCACTAAACAAAGAGACTAGTAAAAACATGACGACTAACAAGGGACTACAAAAGCTTTATTCGCTTGCTTTTTTTAAATAATATGATCAGTAAGCAAATAATAACTTACAAATTTGGCGGTTTCACATTTTGCATAAGATAATCTACAACATTTGAGAATTCTTCTATAGTATACTCCCTTTTCATTGCATCTAATACAGCATCTGAACCTGTGACAAAACAACAACAAAAATACAAGAAAATTGATTTCCTTCAAAGTATAACTTTTACCACTATTTGTAAAGTAGTCTTGGGTATGTTCACCCTAATTAATCCAGACAATATATAATTCTAACTTTTAAAATATGAAGATAAATGTGATAAAATGCTGAAGACCTTAATTAATTATTAATGATTTGAACACATAAGTATTGGTACAAGGGGGCACCAGATACATAAGCGCCACACAAATCTCATTTGATTTGTGTGAGGGCTGTGATATTGCCCGGGTGCTCAAATCGAAGCAGGACCTTAAACGACTTATCGATATCAATAAGGAAATAATGCTTAGTTACAAAATAATTAGTAATAAAAAGAAGTAAACTTACAGTGAAACAATGATTTGGATTTGATGAATTAATGTAAACACATTGAACTATTCAAGTTAGCACTGTGAGTTTTAGTCAAAAACCTATAGGAGTTTTGTCACTAATTGACATCAACTATAATGCAATGATGCTTGCCCATCATTTGATTTACTTAGCGGTTGATATTTTTTAGTCAGAATGTAAAGTGAGAGAAAACTGCGTAGCTACAAAAACAACCCTGACTATGCAGCGAATTCGATGAAGAATTTCAACACAAAATCGGCCCTGGTATGGCCAAGAGTGAGGAGAGTCCACTCTCCCTCTCCAAATGCTCTCACATGGCCATGCGTATATAGCCTCTGTCAGGGAAGCCCTACTCACTGCCTTCTCGTGGCATCATTGTTGTTTACGTAAATGGGAGGACGAAAAGCGAATGTCCGGAGCTTTAACCGGATTCCAAACCAATGGTTCCAGTATCTTGAAGGCACAAATGGCATATGAATCAATTTTTGTTCACCGACTACCATGGGAATGCATCTCCTTACGATGCTCCACTGCCTTGTGCATCAGACCATTAGGTCAAAGGTTCGGGGTGTGGCCCCCTAAGAAAACCACCTGCTTCGGTTTGGGCACCCGAGCAGTATCACAGCCCTCACACATATCGAATGAGATTTGTGTGGCGCATATGTATTTGGTGCCTCTTTGTACCAATATCTATGTGTTAGAATAAATAATAAATCGTGTTATATTCATTGTTTGCTTGCTTAGATATTTTTTTATCCATTTCAAGCATTTAAGGAACCAAATAGTGTCATTTTTTGCCTAGTTAATAATAGCATACAAACTATCGTTCACTGGACTTTCAATTTTGAATGAATATACCATGAGGCTCTATCTTAATTCTGATTGGCTCATTCAACACCGTCAGTATAGTATACCTTGACTATATATACAGAGCAAATAGCTAAGAAATATAGATGTAGAAACTATTAACAGAGCTACTCTTATTACTGACATTACATGTAACATTTACATAATGTTCTCCGGGAAAGTTTTCAGAACTAAAGGATTATATAACAAGAAGATAATGGCACATCTAGCAGACTACTACCTGCCAAGGATGCCACTACTAGCCACTATTTAACTTTGATTAAAGAAAACTGATATAAAGATTCCATGATAAGTATAACATGAAAATAAATTTATTAAAAACTTACCAGATTGAACAGGAATATGAAGAAATGAATACACTCTAGGATGTGACAATACTTCCGCGATTTCAACTAATTGATCTAATATATATGGCGGATTTGTCATACCCAAACGTAACATACACCCAGCAGGAATAATTGGGACAAGACCAGCCAATAGATCAGCAAGTGTAATGTGATGAGGCCATTTTTCAGATAATCCAGGACAAATAAGAGATGATGTAGTCCTGTCCAAATCACGGCCGTAAGCACCAAGATCTTCTGAAGTAAGCCATAGTTCCTTAACACCTTCTAAAATTTTGAATAAAATACTCTTTTTTAAACCATTGATAACTCTGGTCCAAAACGGACTTGGAAAAGTATATTTTATCCTCATTTCTTTTCATACGCATTCTTCCTGACAAAGATCACTTTGAGAGAACCAAGTCAAATTGTCATTGAGTAATAAGACACAACCTTACTATATGATCATTGAAGAAACATTTTAAAATCTCAGTAATACACATTCATGACCTTGCAACCAGCAGTCGAACTTAGGACGATGGGTCTCGCCCCAAACACCTAAATGAACCAGTATCCAACGGTGTACAAGTCGAACGTAAATCAATTTACGACATCATGTAACCATCTTACGTTGTCTGTTTCCAACAGCTCGGTGGTTGATAAATTAACATCCATTCTCTAAACGTATATTCTAAAAAAGCTTACTAGTTAATCTTATTCTTAGTTTATGATTAAAATAGGGAGAATATCAACGAAAAGCAATGAAATACAAATCTATTTCTTGTTTAATCCATTGAATTACCATAGAAAACTTAACAGGAACGTAAGTTCTATATGCGCAAAACCTAGATTATCATCATACTAACAATAAAGAAAAAAACTGATATAAGAGATATGAAACAAACTAGAGAGTGATTTGTACATAATTAACACACTAGATAGGTTAAGTTAGATGATTGACAAATACCTCAATCTTAATCTTATATGATATCTACAAGGATGTTTTTATATAGGGTTTAGTGACCCGTCGTTTACTGTTCTCATGTCGGGGTTACCATTTTAGTGGCCGGTGGATCTGACTCCTATTTAGATCGTACGAATGGTTGTTTGTTATCGCCTTTTCTCGTATATTATCATCGACTTAAATCACGTTAGTTAATAACGGAATTAAATAGGTCGAATAACGAGAATTGATTTGTGAACACATATATTTTGTATATGAATTGAATGAAATAGAGCATAGCAAAACGACACCCAGGGAAGATGGCTGGGAAGCCAATTCCATTTTAGTCAAGCGTTACTCAATATTTATAGTCATACAAAATAAAGCTACAGACATGCAATCAGTCATGGGATATGATGTGTGCACACATATACGCTCATATAAAAACAATCAAGACTGATAAGCGAATAATTAACAAGGTCAAAGTATGGCTCGAGTAGAATGAATAAAATGGGATGCCCGAAAGCTAGAATAAGGTATATGGGCTTAGCATAATAACTGACACTACAAGGGACTCAAACTAATATAATTTGTAGAGGTGGAAAGGTTGAGAAAAGATTGAATTAGATAGATTCTTAAAGCAAAAGAATTTTCTATTAATTATCCTCCACTTTAAATGTCGAACAGAATATATCACAACACTTGTATCATAATGAATGACTTATTCCCTGAAATACATCAATAAATATACATATCGACACATTTTAGTTTCATGTACCATCATCAGTTGGGATAAGGAATAAATACATCAATTCATTTTCTCTTCTTAATAGTTTGGCGGTTAATTCAAAAGTTATAGAGACTCTAGGTGATATGACTTAGAATCGATCACAATGGTGTCACAATGTATACATATCTAGTCTTCCATGAAACTGTGAGATTCAAATTGTTTCATATGTTTCTTTCTACGAACCACTTCTTTCTACCTGTATCATATCCTTATATACAATCTTTCTTTTACATACTATTATCATTGAAGTAACTACTTCTATGAATCCGGTATTCATCTTGTTGTGCTAATGAGGTATGGCAACTTGAACGGATGCATATATGTGCCTGATCCTACACTGTAGCTGACTGACAGACTATAGAAAGCATAATACAAGTTAGAATTGAAAAGTACGATGTTTAGTACATTATCGAAATTTAAAATAAATAAATGCATGATAAACACAAACTAACCTTTAAATGCTTGTTTAGCACGATCTAATAATTGTTCAATAGGATAACTAGCTAATATACCACGTGCTTGTTTTGTTTTACAATATGTACATGCATTTAAACAACCTGTACTTATAGCCAATATTTCAATTAATGGATTACGTCGAATTTTCGGTAAATCTAATGCTATACCAGCTGGTGATGATGACGATGATGAATTTATCATTGAATTAGATGTATCTGATGATGTATACTTTTTATCCAAAAATCGTACCACATTTCCTAAATTATTTATATATAAATATACATAAACAATGAAGGTGGAGATATCAACTATAACAATAACAAAAACATGGTAGAAAATGGAAAAAATCTCATTAGATAATCGATGACGGAGACATTTAGTTAAACTGGAACCGATGCATATATGTGCCTGGTCCTATGTTGTGGCTGACTCACTGAGATGATCGATTACTTACTTACGCCTGTTACTCCTAATGGAGAATAGGCCGCCGATCAGCATTCTCCAACCCACTCTGTCCTGGGCCTTCCTTTCTAGTTCCATTCAATTCTTGTTCATTTTTCTCATGTCTGTCTCCATTTTCCGGCGTAATGTGTTCTTTGGTGTATAGTGAACGAGAACTTAGGTAAGAATAACCAATTTACTGTTTCATGCAAAATTACAGAATGTCTTCATAAAATATGAAAATCATACATTAAATACTTCATTTACACATCTTTGATTAGTTGTCTCTCAAAGACTTCATCGTTTCTTCATTCCTGTTCTTTTTAATTCGATTTTCTCAATCTTCTGCTGCCAGACTTTCCACTTCTGATTTGTGTTACATACTACTTAGATCTGTCAACGTAAGTAGCATACACCACAGGTAAATAATATGAATGATTCGAAGTGACAGTTCAAACTTTATCTTCATATATTCTATGATACAATGGGAATATAATATTCTAGGGGTTAACAATCAGTATAAATCCGCTCCGATTATTGTACCATAGTCTGTTTGATCATATCGAAAATACTAGAACCAATCTATACACTACTTATTATTACCCACAATCAGTAATATCTAAATGGATTTATCAGATACAAGTTCCATTCCAACTATGCTCTGTTGAATTTTATTCCATTCACATAAATACTGGTACAAATGAGCACCGAAATAGATATGAGCTACACAAGTATAAAGAGATGAGATTATGAAGAAACACGAGAGGAAGGGAGAGTATGATTTAACAATAAATGAATAAAAATAGGGGAACGGAGAATAGGATATGATAGAAGATATAGTTCGATTAAAAATAAAATCAGGAAAGCTTTCAGTTAAAGGAGTTCCTCACTTTTCGATAAATGACATACAAAAAAAAACTATAACAGTATTGGCATTGGCTTCTATTCTGAGCCATGTTTGAAAGCGTTTTAAGCTACAGGAGTTATATCATCCCAAGGAATTTAGTCTTCAATAACTTTCTCCAATACCATGAACCTATATCATAAACTGACTACATGTTGAACATTTAGAGGAAATCACGCCAAACTTAATAATTCGATGAAAACTTACAATAAAACTAGTTTCTATGAAACACATAAAATACAGGTTAAATGTTTACCCCAATCTAGTAAAAGATCTTAAATACCAAAGTGATAAAAGAGGGCAAATGACCGACAACTATTTGAAAACAATCATATTCACTTACACATCTATAAATGTCAAAATTTTCACTGGTAACAAACACCTTGTATAAACTATTTAATCAGAATAACACAAAAATCAACAGTACTTCCGATGAACATGGGGTTGTATAGTTTTCTCAATGTTTTGAAGAAACATACATAGATAAACTTATTTTATTTAAACACATAAATATTGGTAAAAGAAGGCATCAAATAGATATGCGTCACATAAATCATTCGATTTGCGTGAAAAGCAGGACACTGTCCTGGTGCCCAAACCGAAGCGAATGGGTTTTTTGAATGGTCATAACGCAAGACTTTGACATAAGGGTCTAATCCACAAGGCAGTAGAGCAACGTAAGCACATGCAGTCCCATTGCAGACGGTGAACAACAATTGGTTCATACACCATTTGTTCCATCAACATACTGAAGGCCAAGTGCACTATTGGTTTGAAATCAGGGTTTTCCAACTCCCCTACATGGATGTTCCATATCCACCAACTCGATTAAAGCGCCGAATATTCGCTTTTCGTTTTCTCGATTTCATAAAATACAGTAAAGCCACGAGAAGGAAGTGGGTAGGACTTCCTTGGCAGAGGCTTTATACGCGTGGCCATGTGAGAGCATTTCGAGAGGGAGAGCGGACTCTCCTCACTCTCGGCCGTACCAGGGCACTTGGGAGCTATGTCAATATGGTTACAAAGATTTTACACATAGGATAAAGAAGAGTAACCTACTGTCAGGGGATTCACTAGAAAATGAAATAGATTCTATCCAAAATTTTAAACAGTTCTCATACTAACTAACTAGACAAAAAAAGACTTCAATTGAAAATTTTGTCAACAAATATGATATTACCAATATGAAAGCTACTAACTTAACGAGAGAATCAGTAAGCATCATCCAAGACCTAGAACTAGATGAAACTGAGTACGTTTCTGATCAAGTTAAACATATTGAATAGAGCCCCACTTTGTATACCACAATATTCGCACAATCTTATTAACATATAATCAATGTTATTATCCAAACTGCATATATTTAAATGCCCATTGATTACGGAATAAAAAGCACATAAAATACATAAGCACTAGAGTAAATGCTAATGTAGGTAAATGTTATTTTGAATAGATGCTAGCAGTCGGATTCAGGATTTATATTAATTCTTAGTTGAGAGACTTCAGTTAGATATATGTCCGTATCCTTATCGTTTCACAAGTCAAAAAGTTATCATTCATCATGTCATTAAGTTATAACAATCATCAAAACTTGTTCAATAGATATGGTATTTATGAGCGTTAATACTCAGAGTTTAGATTATTAGTTTATATTGACCTATAAGGCTTATTATAGTGACGGAATAGTGATACACTGAAAATTGGGATACATACACATAGACAATAACTAACCTTGTAATGTTTCTTCAACAACTTCAACAATACGATCAATTTGATGCACACCAATAACACTAACACCCTGAGCAGAAAAAGAATTAGGCACGTTAATAAAAATAACACGTTGCAGATAGTTAACAAATAATCTAACAGTCAGTCATAAACAGCACAGGTTTTGACATAAAAAATGAGCATAGGTTTAACTTATCCCGATTTACACTAGCACAGTCAATTTGAAAAGAGAATGGGAACAAGCAATGGTGTGTACCTTTATCCTACTGAGTTCTTACAATTTCATTCAATCTCACAGAATCAACCCAGTCCGAAAATATTTGATCTAGTTTGAGCATGATGTTATATCTGAATCTACTAGACTAAGGGGAATTATAGCCGGGTCACTGAATATCAACAGATGAACTAGTCTAGCTCTTCCATATTGACTCGATGAGATCGAGTAAATGAACATACTTGGATCCAGTATCTGGGTTTAACAAATAAAGCTTAAGGTCGAAAAACATGCTGTTTGATACGACACAAGATTTAAACAAATGTGAAATATAATACAAAGCCTATGACACAATTTTTCAAAAGTGAAGTCTTTTAAAATCAAATATAAGATACTGACTTATTACTAGAATCTCAACTGTAATTTAAAAAGTGCTTTGTACATCTATAAAATAATTTGACAACAAATAACAGCATCAGTTAACACATTAAATACTCTAACTATTACTAGTTACTGATTTTACTATTTATTTTAACACATAAATATTGGTACAAGGAGGCACCAAATACATATGCGCCACACAAATTTCATTTGATATGTGTGAGGGCTGTGATACTACCCGGGTGCCCAAACCGAAGCACGTGGTTTTCTTAGTGAGCCACACCTGGAGCCTTTGACCTAAAGGTCTGATCCACAAGGTAATGGAGTAACGTAAGGAGATGCAGCTATACGGTAGTCGGTGACCAACAATTAGTTCATACGCCATTTGTTTCCTCAGGATACTGGAGCCCATGCCCACCATTGGTTTGGTGGACTCTCCATATCCACCAACCCGGTTAAAGCGCCGGACATTCGCTTTTCGTCCTCTCAAGTTCGTAAGCAATAGTAATGCCACGGGAAGGAATTGAGCAGGACTTCCCTGACACAGGCTATATACGCATGGCCATGTGATAGCATTTCGAGAGGAAGAGCGGGCCCTCCCCACTCTTGGCCATACCAGGGCATTTGGGGGCAACAATACTCAGTAGCTAAATGGATAATGCGATGGCGTTTGAAAGGAACGGTACTGGGTTCGAGTCCCAGAGTGGACATCAACTCTGAGATGCAGGTACATCCAGCTGACAAGTCTGAAATAGGACGAAACGCGCGTCCTGGATTCCACTGCTAGCCATAACTATTACTAGAAAAATCCCGAACTGTCAATCGATTAAAGGTACCAAAAAATTAAATTAAAGAATCTTAATAACTGACCAACTAAGTAAATAGAAAGTTATAGTATAATTTAATGTTAGCTGATATCTTTTTGCTAACGGACAAATTGGTATGATTATATAAAAGTAGAATGTTCACCGGAATCTTATGAGATATACGAAGAGACAATGTGCGAACTTGAAAGTTATCAACAGCGACTATTGTTATCTTTTTCTAAACATTGATTATTCAATGAACTCTTGGTTCAAACCATCGTCTACTTTAGTTTAAGCAAACAGGTAGCATTGTTAACCTTTTTTAAGAACAATCTGATTGAAAAATTAAATGACGAATGTATAGTTGAATAATGAGTCATATCGTATAAAATAAATTCAGTTTTAAGTAACAAACTTATTTAGAGGTATTGGCTAATTGTACATATGTCTAGTTTATTTTATTTATTTATTTAAACACATAAACATTGCTACATAGGGGTACCAAATACATATGTGCCACTTGATAAGTATGAGGACTGGAATACTGCCTGGGTGCCCAGATCGAAGCAGATGGTTTTTCAGAGGGCAACACCCGAAGCCTTTGACCTAAAGGTCTAATCCACAAGGCAGTGGAGCAACGTAAGGAGATGCAGTCCCATTGCGGCCGGTGAACAACAATTGGTTCATAAGCCATTTCTTTCATCAAGATACTAGAGCCCATGTGCACTATTGGTTTGAAATCGGGGTTTTCCAACTCCTCTACATGGATGTTCCATATCCACCAACCTGATTAAAGCGCCTGGCATTCGCTTTTCGTTCTCTCAATTTAGTAAATAACACTGCCACCGCGAAAAGGCCGTGAGTAGGACTTCCTTGGAAGTGGTTGTATGCACGTGGCCATGTGAAAGCATTTCTAGAGTGAAATGAATGATGTTGGGTAAATAAATTATTAAGTGAGAAATTTAAAATGCAGTAAACAGGTCTATCGTCAATTATCTCTAACGTTTTTCGGTCATAACTTTATCATTATTCTGGGACCGATATATATTTGATCCATCACAAATTTCTCATAAGTCATTTAACGAATATAGAATTGTGCACACAACTCTGAGTCACATTTATGGTGTAAGAACTAGGGATACATAGAAGGTGCCGACAGAGGTAGATAAACCATTTTAAAGAGCAACAATCGTCAATATTCCTACAACAGAAATAAAAGAGTAACTCATTTAGGTCGTTTTTAAGTTTATTTAACTAGCTTTTTTCCCAGCTAATGTTTCTGTCTAATGTACCGACATAATTTATAACAGCTCTAACCAATATTCATCATTTTAATGTTAGTCCGTGAATTAATAACTCAGAAGCAGAAACAATGAAACTATTGGTAGGATCCATACTACGGTACCGATCTTTGGACCCATGTTCCCTAAAGCTTACAGATTGCTCTTGACATATTGCTCGGTTTTCACTAAATCCATATCATTAGTTTGGCATAGCAGTTGAAAACAATGGGGGAGCTACTGTGTACAATGAGATACATCCTTACAAAGAAGATAGATGGAAAGCAGGAGCCAGAAAACATTAAGTAAAATGAATAACTAAAACATCACACAGTGCTACGAACCTTTAAGTAATCTGCACCTGGTCGACTTTGCGGTACACAACCAGCGGCAACAACACGTTTGCCAAGTTTTATTCCCTCTAAAACAGCATTTCGAAAGTGATCTTCAGCAGGACCTTTAACTGTACAGCTGTTCAAAACCCAAACATCTGCATTCTTTTTCGCATCGCAATTTGAAAGTACAGCTTTGCTTTTATCCGAACTTTTTTCTTTTGAACAGCATTGATCACCGTTGTCTTGGCATCCACAAGCTAAATCTGATGTAGAATTGATATCTCCCTCCGACTCACAACCATTTGTAAACTGTGAACCATCCAGTGTAACTTGATATCCATATTTGGCTAGCAGCCCGGTCATATATTCACTGTCACTAGTATTATGTGCACAACCCCATGTTTGTACAAAAACACGAAACTTTTCTAGAAAATGTTAAAAACACTTGAATATAGCACAAGCAATAGACATATCAACTAGTTTGTAATTCTCTCAAATATTAACGTCGAAATATGTATTTGTTCCTTGGGTATTGTTATTATAACACACTACATTATTAAAAATATCGTTGTAATGAGCTGATAACTCGTGATTGAATCAGAAACTTATGAGGAACGTAGGATGGAATACAAAAGCATATCGATTTATAATGGCGAGTGAGAAAATACCAAAAGAAAGAAAAGTTCACTATAAACAAGAGAATAAAATGTACAGTCAAGGTGAAGATTTAAGGAAAGGCGAAAAGAAAGCAGGCAACTGCTTAAATGACTGAATTTTAATTCGACAAAGTGATGTATTTGATCAAAGATAGTTGGAATGCTCGAGAATAAACTTTTGGTAGTGATTTCAACCTAGCCAATAATCATTAACAATATCTAACTACAATTTTGATGGAACTGAAGTGATGTCAACAAGCAGAAAAAAATTATGACGAGGATTTTCTGTAGGTTGCCTGTAATCATCTGATACCAGTCAACATTTTCAGTTCACAGAGTAGTGTCACTAAATTTCGAAGCGTCCGAGAAGTTGAAGCTCACTGACTAAGCCATCCTTCAATCAATGTGGTTTGTGTTTTAACTCGCATCTAAAGATGCACAGATATTTTCAAACTTTACATATTATGGCTCACTACATAAACTAAGCGGAATTATATGGATTTTCAACTACACGTCAATGAATCAGCTCAAAAAGGCGAGAGTTTAAAAAATTACTACGTGAATAAAAAGCATAAATGGGAAATAAATTTTTAAAAAATATACAAAGAAAAATACTAACCGGGTAGGTTACTACTAAGACACAAATCCTCAGTAATATTTTGCTTTTTATTTCTAAATCTTGTCTTTACTAGTACAGAAGATTCTGTCTCTGGTCTATCGTGTTCGGCAGATAAATCTTCAATATCCATTAGCAGGTATGAAAGTTTTTACTATATATGAGTACATGAAATCTGAAATTTAATAAGCAAGAATAATTTATTAGCAAACAGAAACACCAAGTATTTGAAAATGTTAAGATTCATATAAATGGGTAACAAACAGATTATTTAAACAGGAACAAACAACCAGTTTTAGATTTTGAACTGGTGGTTACTAACTGCAAAACTGCTTTAATAACATTTGTTCTTATGACTACATAGAATAGAGATTTTTTAAAAAGCGATCAAGTTATAAAAAAATACTATCCGTTTGGTGGTAGACCCGAAACTCACTGTATTAATATCATTACCAACAGAACGGGTTTTTAGAAACCTCGAAACTCATTGGAAGTACATGCTCACAATCCTTTTTACTTATTCCCATGAAAGAAGAAAGACGGGAAACCTACCTTGAGTTCGGCACCCAGATAAGTAAAGACTGAAAAGCTAAACTGAAACTTGTTAGGTAAATAACAAAGTGAATTTTTTTCCAATGTTACTTAACATCATATCCAGTTGCAAACGAACATTAACTCGTGTTGATAATGGTAACACTTGAAAAGTAGGGGCAGTTTTAATGTAGAATTATTTAAACATAAATACTGAAACAAATGAGCAACAAAACATATGAGTCACATGAAGTAAAATTCATTTGTTGGTTTGTGCTGAGATACTGTCCTGGTGCCCATATCAAAACAAGTGGTTTTCTTGGGGCCGTATGATAATAACAATTTAGTTTTAATTTTCATTTGCATTCAGTATCCCTGTGATGATTTCGTGTGAAGTTACTGACTTTTTAGTAATCTCTTCTTGATGTTACTGTACAGTTCTACGTTTTCGGTACCGTCCGATATGGTAAAGTTGGCGGTATCAAAATTGTAATTTGTGGACGAACCGATTAGTTATGAGATAACAGGTCTCGGATTTCGGCGCGAAAATCATCCATCCATTCGGCTAAATATCGTTTTTCTCTTTCAGCTGATGTCAGTTCGTGATAAAAAACCAAAATCTAATTCCTAACGCTAACCATTAACAGAAAATCATAATCCTAACTCTCACATCGGTTTATGAACCTCATTTGGCCTTAGTAAGTAGATGGACATTCTTAGGCTCACCCTGGCGTCGCTCAAAAGTCGTCCATAGATTATAGTCTCATACTAAGATTTTATATGTTGGCTGGAGGTAGTCAACAGGAAACCCTGGACCCGGGTTTCGTGCTACTTGGCACTCGTCAGCAAGGTGTACCTATTATCTTGAGGAAACTGGTGCTCCCTGGCGGATTCGATCTCGTGTCACCCAGCTTCACAGTCAGAGACGTTACCACTGAACTATCCGAGCCGCGACTGGCCACATTGCAACATGGTCGATAGCATTCGATCTGCACTAATAAGGACTAGATAGGCATGACATTGATCACCACCCAGTGATCAATCGATTGTGAGTCTCATACTAAGGGAGGAAAATGGTTGATCACATTGTGATAAGTTATGGAATTAAAATGCAGACATGTGAGAAAACAACGGTCAGCAGAAACAAATGAACCGACTGGGTGATCAATATAAAGAACTGTGAGAAGAATTAGCAAGAATGAACAGGGGCAACATCGCGCGAAGACAAGATAGTATTAAGGCACGAGACAAGTGTCAAGTACACGTGATCCAGACGTTTCTATCAAGCCCTCTAAAAGAAACTATCTAGTGGAGTGATTATCGTCACGCCATCTGATAGAGGACTGCAAGTAAGGTCGACATATATTAACAGTAGCTTTAGCTCGGCATTTTCTCAATGATGTGCAATTCGCCGCTGATTACGTTAGCGATAATTCTGCTGAAGTTGTTGTATATCTTTTTCCTAGACTGACCTGAAGTATACTCCCAGGCGTGGCTTCAACTCTTGCGATTTTACTTACTGCGACATGTTGAGGGGTGCTAAACTAAATGATTGTGCCATACAACATACAAATAATCAAGATTTTGAATCCACTCACCCAAAAATGTGAAAGAATTTACACCTATTCAGATGGAGATTGATTTTTATTTGTGGCGGACCTATTCACTTTCACCACACCTTGTACTACTCGGTACCGAAATATCTTGAAAACACGACAAAATCTTCAATTCCCAATCTTTAGAAAAAAGTTATTTTAGGTGTCCCAGAATCTTGAGTGCTTTTGGATAATTATGAACCATTTTAAGTTTTTATCCTGTTGCTTCAGGATCCAGTAGAAGAATTCCAGAAAAGTTTAAAACAGCCATAAATTCATATTGAATTCTAAAAGTTCGAATGCTACAAATGGTTGCGAACAGGATAGAAGAAGCTTTCGTTTAACAGGATGCCGTGTCTAGTAGCAGCGGTGTGACAATACCCTCAGGTAGGAACCTAGGTATATCAACGATAAAAGAGGGAAAGTAAACGGGCAAATCACTGTAACATACTGTCTTTAATCCTTAAGAATATGTCGAGTTTTCTCTTACAGGACTCCTGGCAAGTCGCTTGGACTAGCTCAGCCGGCAGCAAATGCCAGCACTTGACAACCCTTAAGGAGTAGTAACTGATTCCCCAGTCCGTTCTGCTGTGTTGTGTCTGTAGTTTCTTGATGTTACCCTTTAGATTTGTGTTGGAGCTAAACTTAAGTAGGTGTTTAAGGGAATGTTCAGAACTGTTAAGGATATTGTAAGTCATCAGAAGGTCACCTCCAGGACGCCTATGCTCCGATGAGTAAAGTTTCAGTGATTGAAGGCGCTTCCCATAATGCTTGAATTTGAGTCACCAAAATGATTACGTTCCAGAGTGTCCATATCCCTTTGGAGTGAGGGATGAAATACTATGTTTCCTTACTATAAATTGGGAACGAATGAAACTGTTGAAGATTATGTGGAAAGTTCTTCCGTCAAACTGTCCAAAAGTACGCTTCAATATTACCAGTACAAAGTTTGCTCGAAAGGCATTTCTGTCGCAGTTGGCGTACGACCTCAAATCGTAGAGTACCAACGATCCTAGAGCTTTTTCACTTTGGGATACCTCTAGGAAGGAGCTGCCCAAGTTGTATTTGTGGTTTGCGACATCTCTCAGATGGCATACTTTAAGTTCATTACCATTTGCCCAACTTTGGAGTCGAGTTAGATTCTCATGACGTGCCAGTATATTCTGAAGGTTGCGTATCTCTCTCCAAAGTCCCACATCATCAGCGAAAAGTAGAATGTCTAACGATGCCTGTTGTGGAAGATCGTTTATACAGACCACGAAAAGAAGAGGTCCTAATACTGGACCCTAAAAGACCCTTCTAGGATATTCCATAGACTGAAAGAATTTGAAGTCAATACTAACCTCAAAATGTCGATTTTTTGGATACGAGGTCGGCCGATCGATTAAAGGTGACACCTATTCGTTTGAGCTTATTGATAAAACATATATAGTTGACCCTATCAATAGATTTTGAGAATTCATTTAAACGACGTCAACCTTCCTCCTTGCGATCTAAGGTAGTCGTCCATCTGCCCACCACAGTCAGAAGGTGGGTTATTTAAGAATGACATTTCTTAAACCGTGCTGTTGGGGTGGAAAGAAGTTTACGGATAACAAATAGTCGTGTATACCGCCGCATATCAGGGACTCCATAATTTTATATGGCATAGAGAGCAGTGCCATCAATCAATAACTTGAAAGTTCGCTGCGTCGACCCCCTCTGAAAATTGATGTGATGTCAGCCAGCTTTTAAATCTCCGGTAGTTTGCCTCGGCTTAGTGAGTGTGAGAATATCACGCTAAGCGGTGTTGCCAGGATAGAAGGTACTTCCATCAGTATAGCAGAATAAACCATAACCGGACCAGGAGAAGTGTCTTTCCTTGGGTGTTGCAGTTTCTGGTACACCCAATCAGCTCTCAAGTTCACTTAAGGAAGTCCTGTGTAGTTGCGGATGAAGCTTCCATCAATATAGTTAATGTAAGTCGGTTGAAATGTGCAAGAGTATTGTTCAGCCGGAAAGTCAACGGCGTCGAAGAGATAATTCATAGCCGAATAAGCTTTTTGGATTGGAGACAAACTTATCTATAAGCTTTATCTGGTACTGAAGCCTGTCTTCTCTTATTGCCTTCATGTATATGTTCCTTATATGTTTGTGTAACCTGCACGCGTCGTTGATATTAATTCGTTTGTATTCTACGCAGCAGTGTCTATTGCAGCTTAGCAAACGAAGAGTGCGGTTCTTAATGACTGTAGGTTGCTTGTAGCATTTAAGGACCGTTTGAAGAACTGACTGCTTTGTAGCACATATGAGCGTGTTCAGTAATAAAGCCCAATGAGCACCCTAATCAAGTTAAGGGTGAACTTCTCAATCCACATGTTGTAGATAGTCCTGCAAAGCTGACACACTCAACCGCCTGAAATCTTAGTGCCTGTTGTTTGTAAGATAACTTTGTTCAGTTTCGCTGTCAAGAATGAAGGCTAGGACGGCGTTATCGCTTTTCCCCAGGGGAGCCAAGATCAAGAGATTGTCAATCAGGAATTCTTCATTTGTAAGTACACAGTCTAAGCGCGGCGGCGTCTGACTTTCTTCAGCGAGTTACGGACTTCACATCTTCAAATAATTCCAGATCCGCAATGAGTTCGAAGAACCGAGCTTCAGTAGAGTTTTCACCTCGAATGTACGTGTGTTCCGCGAAACTGACTTTAGGAAGATTGAAGTCAACATGAATCAGAATATGAGTAACTCCGAGACCCATAGAGCGTTATAATCCTTCCAGCATACGATTTTCGTACACGTTGATGTCAGTGGGCCTCCTGTAGATGACTCCAACTATACACCACCACACAGATTCATCAAGATAAACTCCTGGTTGTGCACTTGATGTACCTCCAGGCAGGATCGTAATTATAAGGCTACTCTAAACACAATTTCTGTTTTTCTGTCGTTGCGAAACAAAGACATCCCCGGTATTGCCAACTCCTGGTCCATAAACTGGGAAGACAACCAAATTTCAGATATTCCTATCAGACGAGCATTGTTAGCATCGCTGAGTTCACGTAACTCAACCATTTTATTCGGTAAACATGCGGCGTTAATGTATAAGTAGTCTATGCTTTCAATTTGAAACGCATGAGCTTCTTTCTGTTTGTCTGTATGAGTCTTACGTGGATAGACAGGTAGCCTAACTTTACAAAATTTTTCAAGCTAGTAGCTTGTGTCCTTTCCACGTTTCATTTAATAACCTAGACAGTTCACAGGTGGAATTGTCAGCTCTAACTTTCCTTTGTGCTCGATCTCAGCGTCATGTTTTCTATCCGGATGCACATGGATTCCAGTTGGCAACTGGCGTCTATGAAAATGAAGTGTTTCCAGAGTTGCAGTCACCATATAGAGGGATGGAAGGATTTTTTCATCAGCCGAAGTCTAGAATCTCAGGTTTTTTGGTTATTCTCATCACTTATCGAGTCAATATGCTTTTGAGCTTCATGGACTGCTTGATGAATTTACATTCCCGAGTATTGTTAGTGTGGTCAAAGTACGTGTTTTCTGGTACATCTTGCAAAATCATATTTCTTCCGCGGAAAAAACATATCACGCGATTATGTAAGATGTTTTGGAAGAAAGTGTGCTCAGAATACCGTATATCAGGCAGTATTCTTACGTTCCCAGTTGATATATATATGCATTGAGTGGCCACATAACATTGCTAGTTTACAAATGTTATCTCTTTAAGTTATGTATGAAATTAACATTTTCAACCGGTCAAAAGGATCACCAAAATACATTTATGTTGTTGCATGTCGTATGGTCGTCACCGAATGTTTCATATTAGAGGATGAGGATTATAACTTAAGACATTAAACCGATTTTCTAATCCGTTTTATGTAAAACTAATCCAAGAGGAAAATACTATATTTTTGTCTTATGAGATGTTTTGAATAAAATAGATGAAAAATTCGCGGAAAGTCTTGTGGTGACGAGGAAAAATTCCTTGAATAAAAAGTTCCATGATTGTGACCTCATTAGTTTTACTGGACACGCCTATCCGAAAGTGCTTCGTCACACATCTACAACTGCTTAAGAACGGACACGTGCTAAACATCGCTTGCAACACCTAATCAGTTTACATCAGGTGCCTCCTGATATATAGATAGACTTTCAGATGTACCTCGAACCACTTAGTCTTTGACTTCTCATTTGACTTGACTAGGATACTCCGGTTATAAAGGTGTTGTATGTGAAGGCATTGTCAAAATCCGAATTCTCATCTCCAGTTTCAGCATCAAATAGATAAAAAAATTGGGCTCTGATTACTAATTTGTCAGTCATAATATAGTTTGAGATTGTAGAGGACTGAGTTATCCAAATTAATCTTGGCTGATATAACATGACTAGTCTTATTAATGTTTTATCATAATGTACGTATAGAGAGGGGAAAGTACTGTAAACTGTCCTTAATATCAGATATCTTGCACAACTATCCCTCATTGGAAAATTCCTTTCGATTTTAAATGGCACAATCTAGAGAAGTATTATTTAGGGGTCGCCAACATCCTCGGTACGGTTGATTTTTTGGTCAACGTTTCTGATCAGAAGATTGGTACTGTCATAACATTTTGAGACTTCGAAAGCTGTTGATTGGCTTGCTTTCAATTTCGGCAATATGAACATTCAGCTCTAGGTGGTCAACTGGCTTGAGTAATATTAATGTTTTGGACTTTTCAAGTCGTGGTATGCTATTAAACTATCGAAGTAAAACAATGATTATTTATGCCCTATCGTGCATATTATTTTAATCGCCATATAATACCTTTGTAATCTGTCACTTTTTTTCTCTGACTCGTGTTCTGATCACTCGAATGCTCATTGGACAAATATGGTTGACACTAGTACTTTTATTGCATTCAATCCAACTACTTATCATAGTTGTTCGTTCTGTTAGAATCCACTTACTGTCGAGCACAGAATTTTATTCTGGAATTCTGTACCCCAGTAACAGGCTTCTTTCATCGATTCAACTATGTGGGTCAGAAAATTGAATAGGCATATTCCAACGGAGTAGAAAGATTTAAGATTTAGACCATAACTATCTTCTCGTTGGTGGCTTTCCGGACTAAGCTGCACATCCTCAGTATTTCACGTAACCTTAAACCTGGTCAATCTCACTTTAGCTATACTAACCTTCGTTGACAAAATAAGTTCTCTTTCGTACTGTTTTTCTTTGTGTCCCATAATTATTATTGCATACCCAAAACATCATCTATCCGACTGTTTGTTAGTGTGAAACATTCACATCACAACGGGATTACAACCAAACTCACTGGAAACAGCTATTACTACTAGATTCAGATTACACTTAATTACTTAGACTGTCACTGATCTTACAGAGTCTTATCAACAATCTCATGTTTAAATTATAAAAGACCCAGTGACTCATAATCGACTTTATCATCATCAGGTTATTATGACTGACCAATAGATTACACAGAATAGGATAAACAATTGAAGTCAAAATATCACTCGAGAATATTCTTTGTTAATAGACAAAAGTAATGTGTAATACAGAATTTAATCAAGTTTAGAAAGTGTATAATGATCAACAGTCAAATAATATATCACAAAGAATATAATCGATAGATAAGAGATAAATATGTTTATGATTGTTTTTTAAATAATTTCGGTGTAGTATAAATATCTAAACGCCGTTGTCGACCAATTGGAATACTTTCACGAACACATTTCAATTCAGAAAAGTCTAAATCAGCTGTTATGATTTCCTCCTACAATAAAAAAAATTGAAGATTTTCAATGATTACAAACACTTTTACAAATTCAATGATAATAACAAAATTACAGGATACTTTAGAAACAAACGAACAATATTGGATAGTGGCTAGCAGTGGAATCCAGGACGCGCGTTTCGTCTTATTTGGGACTCGTCAACTGGATGTAACTGCATCTGAGTTGATGTTCACTCTGGGACTCGAACCCAGTATAATTCGCTTCAAAAGCCATCGCGTTATCCACTCAGCTACTGAGTCCTGATAGCCACTTGCTTGTGCGATGGAGTGAATTTGAATTCACTTGGTATTGTTTGGCTTGTATCTGACAAATGACCAATACATTTCAATTGTCCAATTAGAGTTACAAGTTGTGATCTATGATGCCAAAGTGTCATAAGCTACGAAACAAACACACTGGTGAATAAAAATGTACAAGATTTAGGTGCCAGACAACACAATCTATAGGTTTTCCTAGGCAAAACAACACCATCTGTAGTGAAGTCTTGGGTTCTTTATACCGTTCAAGTAATCTAGTGGGATTCAGTTGATCTAGTAAAATACAGTGATAGCAAGTTGTGAATACTTAGAGTAACAACTACTTTACAGGGAATAAACAAGAGAAATTTTTACTCTCTAGTCTCAGAACAAAATTACTAGAAATAAAAAAACAAATAATTGACTGAGAATTTCACCAGATCTATTAAACAATGATATAGTTACTCTGAAATTAAGTGAACCGAGATAAGGAGACTGTGCCATGGAAGGCAGTATAAAAACGAAGAACATGATGTGAGATTACTGAGCGATAAAAATTAAACTTTATTTAAATGATAAATTCACTTGGTATTGTTTGTTTGAATCTTCCCACTAACGTTTAGCACTGTAATGGCTACAAGTAAGTAACTATCAGGACTCAGCAGCTAAGTGGATGACGCGATGGTGTTTGAAGCGAATGATACTGAGTTCGAGTCCCAGAGTGAACATCAACTGTGAGACACATGTATATCCAGCTGACGAGTCCCAAATAGGACGAAACTCGGGTCAAAATAGATCCCACTGCCAACCACTATTCATCTTTGCATATTTATTTAAAGTAAATTATGAAAAAGTAACACACAAAAGCTTGTCTACGTCATTCCACCATCCGAAGATGAGTTAAATAGACTCAAGTCAGATTCTCAATAAAATGTACTGTGCAGCAAAGGTTATTATCACTGGAAAAACAGGGTCCATGTTTGACCGGAAACCTAAACGGCATATAAATGATTGCATCACACCACATGGTTATTTTTTTTTAACAATTTACATGTGTGCGATTACACACATAAATGAGGAGCAACCATCACTTGTAAGTTAGGGTCTCTGGATATGTATCAAAATGGTTACAGAAATAAATAAAATCAAACATATAGCAGAAACAGGTCATCAGACTGATGTGTTAATTTAGACTTTGTGGTTTTGTACAAAAGTTGTCTAGAGTTTATCTAGGCCTTGGTCATACTACGATTACCCCCCCCCCTTTATGTATACAGAAACAATATGTTTTCAACATTACAAACCTACCCTGATAATATTGATTTATTACTTAGAATGGTAAGTTACTGACTGTTTTTCATATTATTTTCTTTATTGTCATTATTTCCTTTTGTTTTCTATACATAACTATTCAATGACAAGTATACGAGGGAATAGATTATTCAAAATGTACTGAACTAATATATTTGCGTCTTTTTACTACATTATCATTTAAACACTTCTACATTTTAAGTTGAATTCATCAAGGGAATTGGATTTCAAATAATTGAACTGCTTAGAATTTCAAGTGTATTGATGAATGGAATATCTAGTCTCTAACAATTACATGTAAGATTATGCTCTGCCAGACTCTAGAGAATCATAGCCAGTTGAATGTTGTATGTACTAAACTGCTAGATCCTGGGTTCGAATCTCGCAAGGCGGGATCGTAGATGCGTACTACTGAGGAGTCCCACAATGGGACGAAACGACTATCCAATGCTTCCAGGTTTTCAATGGTGATCTAGCTTCAATTGACTCATGATCTCAACTATTAAAACTTAAATAACTTTATAATTAGATGATCACTATTAATACCGTTTATTTTATGTGCTTATATTTAACAACAACTTTAGTGTACTACACAGTAATGGTAGGTAAAAAATGTTTAGCGTAAACAACTGTTTACCTTAATTGAAAAAAACTGTATCAACTAAACTGGTAATGACTCAAGTTGTGTATTTAATTACAGATATAATGATATAGAACGGTTGTGATTGTAAACATTCATCCGATTTTATTCTGCCTGATAATGGCTTTGTTTTCTCTTCCAACCACCAATGCCAACTATGACGTGCAATATTTGCTTGTGTATGATTAAGTTGGAAGAAGACTAGAAGAACACAAACTAAAATCCTGATGATTGATGTAGACCACCTAGTTGAGTCTCATACGATAATTGTGACCAGAAGTCAAAGACGTCGAATGATATGAATGAGAATAGATCGCAATCACACAAATGAATTCAGTCGCTGTCTTCCATCTTGAATTTTGAGTTTTAAAACTATCTTATACTCTTTTATTTCTGAATCATAATGTTTACGCCGAATATTTTGAATGAATCTGACATTTTTTCCTGATTATCTGATCTAGCTGGGATAATACAATATGATATGACAACTTGAATCGATGCACAGGTTCTACGTTGATTATGTATGGCTGACTTCTCAAAACTTGATGCTATCACCAGGTTACATATATCTATCAGTAGTTTACTATCATAAAATTGATCTGAAAATTTCAAGTGAATAGTGAAATACAGTGAATTATTATCAGTATTATTCATCAAATACTTACCTCTTTACCACCTTTAGCTATAACTATACCCCATGGTGAAGTGATCAATGATTCAGCATGACTTATATAGTCTAATTCTAGATTACAAGCTGGACTACACATTCCAACATAACATTGTGTGTCTAAAGCACGTGCTCTACCCAATAATTCCCAATGTAAAGATCCTGAGATTTTTTTGGAGGGGAAAGGGGGAGGAGAAGTGACAATTGGAAAAAAAGAGAGATATCACACATAAAATAAAATATACTTTTTAATTATTGAAGTGAAAAATATACACAGTTACAAGAACATTTTTTCTCTCAGAAAAAAGACCACAAGTTTCACATAAAACTATTACTACACACTACTACACACAAAAACTGTACTTTCTTTTCTGTGTTATATCTTGTGACTGCAGATTAGACGGCAGCAAATTATCGATCGGATCAATGACATGTAAAACCGTACGAGCAGCCTATAGTTGTGATTGGTCTCGCCTCCTTGTCTAGCCCAGCCAGTTGAGTCCAGAACGCAAGCCTCAGCCTTTGAGATATGAATCGTTATATTTCAAGCATACTCTGTTTATATAACAATCAAGCAGACCACATCGTACCATAAAATAGAAAAATAACATTTGACACGTGAAATAAATATTGGTCAATAGGAAAATGATACCATCTCAAGTCCAAGAATAATTTTTGGGATATTTTCCTGAATATCCCAACACTAAGTTAAGGTATTCAAAAATCATACCAAGTCAATTTGACACTGTTAATGTAAATATCAATCTGAAAATTATCACTATACAGTTGTGGAGAATGTTGAGTTTAGGTTGATATCATGAATGGATCAATGTAAGACCACTACTAAAAATCTGGAAGCACTGGAAGGCTATTTCGTCCTAGTACAGGACTCCTCAGCAGTGCGCATCTACAATTCCGAAAATTGGTAAAATAAATAATAATAATAACCAATCATAAAACTGGGTAATTAGATTAGAGTAGTAATCAATATCGTACTATCTATTTCTTAGTGATGATCGAATTATATCGATCAAGTAATATATGGTCATAATTCATTGTATTGACAACTCCATTCATATTTGTTCAACGTTAAAACGGTTAGAGTTATTCTGATCGACATTAAACAATAAGATATTTCTATATAATATCTAGGGAGATGATGTTTCCTCAGTAGTGTATTCAGAACTATTCTGATCGAGAAATGAAATCCAATGGGATTAATTAATCCTTAATATCTAATTTGTGTAAGCATACTAACGCCACACTACCTAGTCACTAATAATCAATGAACCTAATTTTAGTAAAGTTTCATCCTCTGAGCTGAATAATTTGGCCGTGAAGCTTTTCTTCTTCTTCTGAACAACATCATCAGCACAAATTTCAGCTAGAAGTGAGGTATTCAAATTGCTCTACATAGAACTGACAGCCTATCCTGTCGACCATGATCTTTATTGGTTATTCTTAACCATTATACTGTCGTTGACGGTACATCTATTTTGATTAATTCTCTTATTGATTTGATTCTTGATTCTACATTTGTGTATGTGATTTTGTTAATCGATTGATAAATTGAGTCGATTACGATTTTCTTTTTTTATTGATTTACTTGAATACTAAGCTTCTCAAAACAAAAATATTCTCTGACCTATTTATACACCCCTTATTCAAAAATATCAACATTTTTACAGCCGAACGTGTCCATCGATATAAAACGAAGCTACAACGTCATAGCATTTAACAGTTAAGCTGATATTTATGGCAGATGATGGATGAAGAGAGTGTAGACTTTGTTCGAATTCATTTTTCATAAGTCATTCAGTAACACCTTAGAACTTCGTACGTACGTACATCAGTTCGAGTTGCCACACCACATTAGCACAGAGATGCAGTTGTTCATTCAAACCCCGTAATGGTAGAGGTAATAAGAGTATAAGTAGTAATCGGGAAGATTAGTGTTTAGAGATGTTACTTAAAGAGTATAATACAATGAAATAAATTTAGGAAGAGAAAAAAAGAGACAAGGAGGAATAAGGAGATCAAAATTTGGGAAAACACAAAGAGTGTATGCACCTGAGCCATTGCAAACGATTTCGAGCCATGTCATTCAGAGTCTCTAACCATCGGTTGCTATCATCTCGCGGTCCCCAACTAGGTAGTCTACACCTACCAACATGACTAAGACCATTTGTCAGTGACTTCATGGACTTGTGCCATGTTTTGGTCTGGCCGCCCCTAGCTTTTTTCCAACCTACTCCTATACCACTGAACATCGCACGTCGAGGCAGTCGGTCGTTGGGCATACGTAACACGTGTCCCAGCCATCTCAACTGATGAAGTTTCACTACGTCATCAATTGATTTGCCATCCTTACCTAGTACCCGTTTCCTAACAACTGCATTACTTACTCGATGATCCCAGAGTATACGAGCAATATTTCGAAGGCACCTATGATCGAATACTAGTAACCTACGAATATCCTCTACTCTTACTGGCCATGTTTCACTGCCATAAAGTAGGACGGAACGAACTGCTGCGCAGTAAACCCATCCTTTGGTTGATAGACGGATATCTCGCCTACGCCATAAATGACGCAAGTTAGCAAAAGCTAGTCCAGCCTTCTGTATCCGTGCTGAGATTTCGTGACACACCAGACCACAAGAGCTGATGAGACTTCCAAGATAAGTGAAGCGATCGATATAAAACGAAGATACGACGTCATAGTATTTAACAGTTAAGCTGATATTCATGGCAGATGAGGGATGAAGAGGATGTAGACTTTGTTCAAATTCATGTTTCATAAAGTTGAGACAGTTTGCTTTATAGATGATGTTTAGTTAGTCTCCATTTGTTATTGTGTCCCTTGTTGAAACACTATCCATCATTGAATGCTAGAGATAATACTTATATATTAATGAGTAAAATTTACAATACACCAAATTAAATAAACCCATTCTATTCAATAATGATGTTTGTTTTTACTTTACGATAAAAGATAATCAAGGGTAACAACTATATGAGAGAAAAAAAGTGGAATAGAATTACTCTTTTCTTTCTTATATAATATTAAATAACTAAATTGTCTGACTAAAGTTTAGAACTATCAATGTATTAAATGAGAACACAAATAGTGACTAATCAAATGTAGCTAAGGGGATAATGCCATAGCAACTAATCGAATGTATTTAAAGACAAAATTATAAAACATCATAGTAAAATCAGAGAATCATACAGTGAATACTGAATTGGCAAAATGTCAATCGATTGTTTCAAACTTGACTGTTCCTGCATTTTCATATCAATTACTTTCTGTTCCCGTTCTTTTCTTGTTGACCTTTTACAGTCAGACATTTTAATCCTGACTATCATTAGATACTACTGAAATCGATATGAGTAGCACACGGCACACAAAGACCAAGAAAAAATATTGTTAATCTGACAGAAATTTCATTAGTTATAGTGGTAATCTGAAAACTTCAAAACTTATTTTCCTTTCTTAGTTAGTCTTAGTTATTATCACTTTTGTAGAATATTGTAAGATGTTAAACTAGCAAACATTTAGAGTATAAATTTAGTTTGAAATGGTTTGATTGATTAAATTGTTGATAATTTCTTGACTGAAATTTGATAAATCTTGATTAGTATATAAGCAGTATTCTATGTAGATTGCTTTGATATAGTTGTTATATCAATGCAATATGCAAGATTGATCAAATTTCTGTTAAGATATATCAACAACAGGATATTTTAGACCGTTTCAAGTTGAATTAATAATATAAAAGTTGAACAAGTAAATGATTATATGAGCTTAGAAGCTAAATGGATAACGCGATGATATTTGATGCAGACGGTATTTGGTTTGAGTTCCAGAGTAAATATGAAGTCTAGTGTTAAGATGTGCAGAAAAATATACCAATAGTTATCATGTTAAGTCTAATGTTGTCCTTGGACGCTAAATGTACATTCTCTATTGGTCGATATTTACTTCACTTGTTTAATATTGTGTAAATGTTGTTTTCTATTTTTATGGTACAATGTGGTATGTTTGGTTAGTATATAAATAGAGTATGTCTGAAATACAATGATTCATATCTCAGAGGCTGTGACTTGCGTTCTGGACTCAACTGGCTGGGATAGACAGGGAAGCAGGGCCAATCAGGACACTAGGTCGTTCGTACGTGTTTACGTGTCACTGTAACCGACCAATAAAACGCTGCTCCATCTAACCTGGAGTCACACCCGTTACAACATCTAGGACACAGGTAAGTTTGATTGATGTTTCCTAAATAAGACTAAACGCATATCCTTGATTGTATTGCTACCCACACTCTATCTATTCTATATTACATCGAATGATATTATTGCATTCATTTACATTTTCGAACAGAATTCATTTTAGCTAAACGCTATAAAGATAAATCTCTAACTTTTAATTGTTCTAGTAGTAGGAGTATATACACAATGCAAGATAACTGTAGATATGTATATTTATGCTTGTTAAATATTCGTACAATGAATTCCGTATTTGACATTCCGGTATCAATAGGAAATATCGACTGGAAATCATTTGACAAGTAAGTTGTCAGCCCATATTTATTTGTTTGAACAGATAAATAGTGGTACAAGTGGGAACCAGATACATATGCGCCACACAAATCTCATTCGATTTGTGTGGGGGCTGTGATACTGTCCGCGTACCCCAACCGAAGCACGTGGTTTTCTTAGGAAGTCACAACCGGAGCCTTCGGTCTAAAGACCTAATCCACAAGGCAGTGGAGCATCGTAAGGAGATGTGGTCCCATGGTAGCCGGTGACCAACAATTGGTTCATACGCCGTTTGTTCCCGCAGGATACTGGAGCCCATGTGCACCATTGGTTTGGAATCCAGTTAAAGTGCCGGACATTCGCTTTTCGTCCTTTCATTTTTGTAAACAACACCCACGCCACGAGAATGCAGTGAGTAGGACTTCTCTGGCAGAGGCTATATACGCGTGGCCATGTGAGAGCATTTGGAGAGGGAGAGCGAACTCTCTCCACTCTCGGCCTTACCAGGGCAGAAAAACACATATGATTAGAAAATAATTAGATACTTGGAGACGATCAGTCACTTGGATCCCTTCTATGTATATAGGCACTTAAAACTTTCAGCAGGTACCATTTTACTACAGAATACCCACAGAAAAAGAGAAAAGTAAAGAAAGAAATACCATAAACTTACCAGTTTTAGGATTGAATGCAGCGGGGAATAAAAGTAATTGACATCCTAATTGATTAGCATAAAGAAGTGACAATTCCGGAAAACGAATATCATAACATATACCAATTCCAACTCGTATCACTGAAATTTTATTCTCGGCATTTTTTAAAGGTATCTCAAAAGAGAATGTCTCTTTACCAGAACTAAGTGAAGCTGATTCTTTAAATGTAAACTGGCCTAAACAAAAAAAGCAATAAGGATAAATGAAGTTTAATTTAATGATATCAAAACTGAAAAGATAAAACAAAACAGATGAGTGAACAAAATGTACCATCATCACGAAGGTACAAGTATTTATAAATAGTTGTCTACGCAAGATACTCAACATCCATTGGCCGGATACCATCAGTAACAGCTTACTGTGAGAGAGAACAAATCAGCTTCCAGCCGAGAAGGAAATCATGAAAAGACGTTGGAAGTGGATTGGACATACATTACGGAAATCACCAAACTGCATTACGAGGTAAGCCCTAACCTGGAATCCTCAAGGGAATCAGAAAAGAGGAAGGCCAAAGAACACATTATGTCGAGAAATAGAAGCAGATATGAAAAAGATGAATAACAACTGGAATGAGCTGGAAAGGATTGCCCAGGACAGAGTTGGATGGAGAGTGCTGGTGGGCGGCCTATGCTCCTCCACGAGGAGTAACAGGTGTAACCAATCAGAACAAAATGAAAATTCAATGTTATTAAACTTGATATCATTATTAATTCATCTGCAAAATACAGATTTGAGCCCGATTCTACGTGTGTCAGGGTAAGTGCTATTACACTGTTACCTAAAAAGGAATATATGGAAGAGAGTTTGAACCTACGAGCTGCTGGCAAAAAAATTCAACAATCTAACCACAAAGTCATAGTACAAGAAGAAAAAAAAGGAAATTTACTATGAAGTTTTTTATGTATAACAAGGGCACCTTTTAAAAACTGAATTGTTGATAAAATATAATGAAGAAAATACTGATATTTCTGAATCAGTTAAGACTGTTAACTGAGAATAAAATACATATTGAATCGATGAAAATAATGACGTAAAGTTAGCGAAATCAATCTACGAATGAGAGTAAATGGGTTTACTCAGTTATTAGCCATAATATAACGTAAAAAGACTACAGATAATTCCGCTAATGGCACCAAATGATATGACTGTAGATTAATGTTTGATTTTGAATGGATCTGTAGTGTCAGTTATTATACTAAGCCCATATACCTTATTCTAGCTTTCGGACATCCCATTTTATTCATTCTACTCGAGCCATAATTCGACCTTGTTATTTATTCGCTTATCAATCTAGACTGTTTTTATATGAGTGTATATGTGTGTGCACGTCATATCCCATGACTGATTGCATGTCTGTAACTTTATTTTGTCTGACTATAAATATTGAGTGACGCTTGACTAAAATGGAGTTGGCTTCCCAGCCATCTTCCCGGCGTGTCGTTTTGCTATGCTCTATTTCATTCGCTTCATATACAAAATATATGTATTCACAAGTCAATTCTCGTTATTCGACCTATTTAATTCCGTTATTAACTAACGTGATTTAAGTCGATGATAATATACGAGAAAAGGCGATAACAAACAACCATTCGTACGATCTAAATAGGAGTCAGATACACGGGTCACTAAAGATCTTGTTTCATAGCCTGGTAACGAACCACGAAGTCACGTGTAAAGGGGAACATAGATCTCTAGAATGACGTATATATATGAATTGCTAACTCAAATCTAATTATAACAATGTTGATCAACAAATATATAAATTTGTAACATCCCAATGGGTAGAAAAATTGGATTTTTAAATTTTTTTAACGTTTTGCAGCTGTATATTGATCAGTTTTGAAAAAGATTTTATATGAGTCTATGTCATGACAACAAAGGTATCAGCTACATATATGAGATAAATTCGTAGTTTAGACTCGGTCTGGGCAACCGGGCGATATCAAAGTCCACACACAAGTCAAGTGACTTGTGTGGCACATATCTATTCAATACTGGTTTCGAATGGATGCGAGTGTTAAGACAGAACAAAGTGACTGAAAGTTTGATCTATAAACTACAGAGTCAATTTGCTGCAACACATTTACGATCATACACAAAATAGTTCTGCTGACGTTTTTGTCAAATGCATAGTTTTATCAGAAGGGGGGGTTGTGGATATTATAGTAATTTTAATAGTTGAGATCATGAGCCAATTGGAGCTAGACCACCATGGAAAACCTGGAAGCACTGGATGGCCGTTTCTCACTACTGAAAAGTCCCACAATAGGACGAAAAAATCGTCTAGTGCTTCCAGGTTTCACATAGTTTTATATCCAAAAGCTTAAAATACAACATCTAACAGATTATAACACAAAAATTACGTGACCATAAAACGAGATTACACACAACACATATTTTCATTAAAATCATACTAGATGCTAACATTGAAAACTGAAATTTAGTGTGGCATGAAACTGATTACATTTTAAAAGTCATGCTGACTACAATCTCAGATAATAAATAATTTCACCATTTGGATATGAAATGGTAACTTAAAACCATTAAGATAACGTCTGTAATTTTAATTGACTCAGTCAGACAGTCAGTCAGCTGCAACGTAGGACCAGGCACATATATGCATCGGTTCAAGTTATCATACCTCATTAGCACAATAAGATGAACACCGCATTCATAAAAGTAATTACTTCAATGGTGGTAATATATAAAATAAGGATCGCATATAAAGATATAGTACAAGAACAAAGAATTAGTTCGTAGAAAAAAAGATACAAATTGATTTTAATCTCATAGATTAAAGGAAGACAGAGAGTATATACACCTACACCGCTGTGATCGATTGTGAACCATGTCACACAGAGTCTCCAACCATTGGTTACGATAGTCACACGGACCCCAACCAAGTAGTCTGCATCTAACAACATGGCTAAGACTAGACGTTAGTGACTTCAAGGACTGATGCCACATTTTGGTTATGCCGCCCCTAACTTTCTTACAACCATCCCCAACACTAGTCAGCATTGCACGTCATTGTAATTGATGTTCAGGTATACGTAGGACGTGGCCCAACCATCTCAGTCGATGAAGATTCACAACCTCATCAAGTGATTTACCATCATTCCCTAATACTCTGCGTCTAACCTTATTACAAATCATAATGTTAAATAGTTGACCTGACTACGTTTACCTATAACTTAATGATTTTACCATTGGATAAACTTATCATTTATTAGATTTGTATCGACTGTTAGTTTAGAAGAGAAAATGGAAGCTTAATACTAGAGAACAATTATGTTTTATTGAAAAAAAAACCCGACAGTTTCTTTAGATTACCTGGTATATCAATATCGAATAAGTGTAATTTACGATATAAGCCAACTAGTTCACCATCTGGATTATATGTTGCACAACAGTTATATAACTTGCCATCAGGTCCACGTTCAGGGATAGAACCACCGACAAGCCATATTTTATGAGATCTGTAAATGATTGAATAATTATTTATTTCAAAACCTGTTTGTTATTAAATGTTAAGGGCAAACAGTAAACTGTCATTGTATCTCCGTGTAATTTACGGTGTCACGTTTTGTAGCCTCCAGATTACAGACATTTTTGACAACGATATCAAATGTATGATTAACTTACACATTTACAGCACATGCAAATGAACTACGATTTTATGGTTTTTTACAAACATAAATTTAAGTACTGCAATAATTTAGATCTTACATAAATACTATTAATGCACAGAATTGTGCAGTCTAAATGGCAAGCACAACAGTGAATGAACGCACATGCCACTGAAAACCAATTAAAAAAAATGAAATAGCTTTAACTGAAATCTTCATTGTGGAAGAATGTAATCATAGTCAAACTTACTTAGCAGCATCTGATAGCATTTGGCATGATGGACCGTTGGGAACAGTTTCTGCATAGGGTCCAAAATATTTTGCACCGATAGGGGAGGTAAAGCATTCTGGAAGGCATACAAGGTGAGGTGAATGCTCAGATACAGCTCGACTAATTAATTCAGAAGCACGTTTTATATTGGCAGTTTTATCTGCACCCACGAACATTTGCAATAGTGCCAGTCGTAACATTTTTACAATCTGTTAGAAAGAATATTTTATTTCAAATGCTAGGTAATTGTTTAAATAAATAAAATTTAACCGTTTATGATAGCCAACACATTGCATTTTTTACACGATAATATAGTGATATAAAATTTAAGGGTTGAACATAAATCATACTTTTTAAAATTCATTCACATTTAGTACTAAATGTTACAGTAATACTTTCTATAAATCAACCATGAAAATCTAATCCTCCCAAAAATATCACCATTTGACTTATTAATTGTCTCTTAGTTAAATATTTCATAATCCGTCAATGGGGTTTGAATGCGTACGTTTTACCTAGAAATTACTGGCTTTTTCTAAATATTCTCAATTTTTTTGACTAAATAACTGAGTTATTCCATCACTATATTTACTGTGGTTTAGGTGGCCAGGTTACATTACTACCCCTCACACCTAAAATGTGGTTCAAAGTCAAGTACAGAAATATTTACTTGGTAAAGGCGATGAAAAATAATTAAAATACTAGCTTGAATAAACTTGACTATTATAAAACCTCAACAAGGCGGCTCATAATCTAGTATGTAAGTTTATGATTTTATTTGGTTGTAAATAGTTAAAAGATTTTAATCCTACTATTACTACATGAACACTAAGAGACCTTTAATATAATGAATATACAATGGCAGGTTTGTGTGAAAACATGATACATATTTCACTAGAAATGACTTTCAAGAAAATATGTATACGCAATATTTCTACAGTTGTATTCATTAAAATAGTGGCTTCAGTTACAGTGAACACAAAGAGCAGTCACACATACTGTTGTTTAAAAGCGAGTAGGAAAGCCCAACTCAATGGTCTTACCTCCCGATTTTTTGGCAATAGGTTGCTACGAATTGCACTGCCACAGCATAAAATTGTGAACTGAGCAAAGTACTTGGTGTTTTATGAAGAGATAAACATCATATAGGTAACAGTCAAAAGCCTATACTACAAAATGTTTAACACAAGGGAAGACTTGGAAATAATTTTTTACCAATCCTGTAGTGCATATATAGAAAGGTTCAATTTAACACAAGATCTTAAGACTTCGGATCTGACATTTAAACCTTCAGTGATATCAAAACAACAGAGGTTAGATAATAAGAGAATTAAAACGTCATCCTCAAAGCATGGAGACGGAACGAAGATGTTTAGACAGATTTAGATAATCTCACACTTAGTCGAATGAGATTTTTTAAAACATTTACTAATTAACATACAGTAAAAAGAATAGCATTTTCTCAGGATGGAATAAATCCCCGTTTTGGTATACGAAAATTTGAGTTCCCATTGTCAATAAAAGAAACGAGTATTTGGATCGCATGTTGACTTAAAAGCTTTAGCGACCGTCTATAAAAGTGATTTGCCTCACTAACAGAGAGTAAGCCAAGTGTGGAAAGCAACCGCAGCAGTGATTTCTACCTCTAAAGTCAGCAAGTGACAAAATTCTGAGAATCATGTAAGGTTTACGAATAATTTTCACGGCATATAATTACAAGTCAACGCTCCCACAGACTTTAAATTTAAGAGGATGTTGTCTTATCTCAGGAAATACTTTTTATCGCTACAGTAGTCACATAAACTTCCCTGATGACTACAGCGAATTAATGAGTTGTTGATTTAATTTGTACCACGAAACATTGAATACATGGAAAACGGACAACATGATACACACCCACAAGTGTGGTGCCGATGAAATAATTCTTTAGGACAATCTGATAACGCAAACTGACTGAAGAATTTGAACATGGAAAACGATTCATAACAGTGATGTTGCTATAAAAACAAGACAAAATGCAGATTTACTTAGAAGAGTCCTCAAAATGCCCCGGTAAAATCGACGGTGGTGAGTCAGTTCTCCCTCTAAAAATACTCCAACATCACCAAGAGTACACAGCCACTACAGATATCAACATAAACACTTTCTTTAGAGTAAGGGCTATATATATAAATACTCATATGTACTATACTATAGCAATCGTTAATTATAAACTAGATGAAACGATGTATAAATTAAACAGTCTCCTCTATTGGTTCTTATAGACAGTGTTTGCAATGTATGTATGCAACAATACAACCTTCATAATGTTTGTCACATACGTAGGAACCATAAGATGCTCTGCATTTCGGAAGAAATATAAAAATATTGATGACCAAAAAATTTGTGATACAATTACAATGCTTCGACGACCGACTACACGATATAAGCTACATAAAACCAACTACAGGTCAATACAATTCTAAAAGCTTCGAACACCACCTGTTTAAAATTCCGCTATGCAATACGATATGCGATCTAAATTAGAAAACTAGTGTACATTGAATTACTTCTTCCAGTCAATCCTTTACATTGAATGAAAAGAACCCGAAACACACCTAATTCTCAAGGCAGCTGGTCAATCCTTTCCACCGCAGTAATTTTGGAGAATTACAAACTTTAAATGTAGTTCCAGTAACTTATCAGCAGATGTGTTCAAAAATGGAAAGGAGTGGACAATATCCTTCTCAGAGGTAAGGTATAATGACGAAGAATCTCACCACTAACGGCCGAGCAATTAGGTAGAGAAAACTTTTCAGTAGGCCAGGGTGCCTGCAGCTTCGAAAAGAATTCCATCAATACCTCATTTTCATTGGTCTAGGAATTTCTGTGAAAAGTAGCGAACGATTCATCACAAACAGTAATATGATAGTCTTTTTCTATGGCAGAGAGTTATGTGCTAGATTAATACAAGTGGCACGACGTTCTTGTGGCAGTACTTCTCATCGGTAGCACTATTTGTGTACAGATGCGAGGAACCAAGTCTCTAACAGTAAGTGATTAGTCCTATCCAAGATTCTCCAGAAAAGAAAGACATCTGTAGAACCTTTCATCTAATATCCAACATAAGTCTATATACATATAACAGTATGATAAACAATGTAATTGATTTTGAGAACAAAATCAGTACGATAATAAACCGCAGATGAAATTGTATTGTTCCCCGAAGAGTGCTTTGAAATAGCCCACGACTGCATATGTCAGTGTATTACTTCCTCTACACAAGTCTACCTTATGGTTAGCGCAAAGCTTTTCATTTTTTACAGCAGTGCCAAAATAAATCAAATTGTGTATTGTATTCAGAGCTAATACTTTTGATGCATTTGTTATTCTAAAGGTCCTAAAGATGCCACAAGTATTCCCCTCAGACTTTAATTCTGTCTTAAAATACATTCTACGGGCTCGCAAGAAGTAACTCAATAATTTTGCTTGAATGCGGAAAAACTTTCACTGAATTTGAGGGCAATATTTGACCATGTCCTTCCACTGTTATAATCATCAATATCATAATGAATAGTTTATCTGATAGTGTGTGACTGCTACCCACGTGAGTTCTTACCCTGCATAGTAATATGTCTCCTATTTTTTCAACTGACGACCTATAGAAATATACGTCCTGCATGCATGTGAGGATTTTATTTTTAAAGTTTTTAATGCACATATTGTTGAAAAGCCCGGGTTATACAACATCAAAGTTAACCTGAATTTCCATGCTCGATTTTTTCAAATTTTGAAGCAATCTATTCAAGTTATTTCTTCCATTGTTAGAGAGAGTTAGAATCGCTCATTTACAGATACTGTAATTAGTCAGAAAAAAAATCAATAATTGTCCTTAATGAGTGTACAATGATAAATATGAGCAGCTTCAGCGATTTATTCAGTTTATATTCAGTGTTATTTTTTCTGTGGTCTTCCCAGATAATTTATATGAAAAATGCACTTAGAGTTTGTTGATTAAGGAAAATGAACTTCAGGACTCTGTGTCGAGTGACAGTATTTCATAATGATCCGTGTAAACGTAACCTCTAAATATATGAGTATTTTAAGTGGGCGTTCATGCATATTCAAGAAGCAAAATCCAACTCCTACCCATTCCTTAAATAAATAATCGTGTTCTTGGTGCGGCAATTGGGGTAGAATTATTTGTGGATAATGTTTTATGTGTAGATGCATAATGGTCAGGTACGAACGTCATATCTGCCGTTTTGATTGATATATCAGGAAATAATACTACCGAAAATCTGAACTTTGAGACCAAAAGATCAACCAGCAATGGATCGCAGACACAGAAACTACGTAGTTGTACATTAAATCGTTTATTTAACGGAAAATCTTTGAAATGACCGAACTGATAATACTTGATTCGAAGGCAATACTGAAGAACCAAAATTTATTCCAGTAGGCCAGACTACGTTCTTCTGAACAGCATACAATGCGTTTTTGAGATACTCGTATTAAATCATATCAAAACACAAACTCCGTTCTCAATTTAAACGGTTCTAATTTAGGAAATAGAACAAATTATATCAGAAATACAAAATACCTCAAACGGTGTTTTACAGTCAGAAGTTTCTGTGACGCAAAGTAATGCGCTAAGCAATAAAAGAAACAGTTAGTACTAAGGGATACGATACCTGAGAATCAATGAAATATTACCAACAAGATGGGATCAAATATCTATCCGCGGGGATCCCAGCAATCCTCCCAAGCAAACAGTCAAAAGGTTAACAGCCACACATTGAATCTTACCGTGACCATGAGCTTAGTCAAACACGACCTTACTATTAACAGTCCGGCAGCATGCAATTGAAAATTAGGTAACGAAATATAAGTCTTTAATCAAAATCACATAAAAAAGGCTCAGACGAGAAAGACTGAAGAACAGAAGATGTGGTTAGACGAGATCCGAATCAAAGTTAAAATACACGACAGGGAGATGTAACAGATAAATGACAGTAATGTCCAACAAGAAAGCTGTGGAGGGATATTCATCGTTCTGTCTCCGTTACAATATTACTTTTTTATTCATTTCAAAGACACTATCAGAGAAGAAAGTTGAATCCAATGAATAAAACTAAGATACCATCCAGTTATTCCATCAAATTTTATACCATCAGTCCCATCATCATATGATCCTGCCTGAAAATGAAATTGATTTATTTCAGGAAATAAAAATGAGTGAAATATTATTGGTCATCCAGTGAAAAATCTGGGTAATGACCTTGGTTAGTCTTATCACAGTAATCTGTTATACTAGAAAAATATACTTATTCAGCAACCGTAGAACTGCCATGATGTAACTGCCTAATCTTTAAAACTTTATATGGAATTCACATTATTGCACGTACCGACTCGTACAATCAGGGCAGCCAGTGGTTACTGCTAAAGACCTCTGAAGAATATATTTGGGCTGAGTAGAGAGCGAAATATTTCATATGGAATGCAGAAGATTACATTGACTGACCATAGCTGCATATCAAACCATGTCATACAGATAAAGTCTTCTGAGTTCATCATTTCTGGCAATTCTTATGTGTTAAGTGTTGAATGTAATTCTTCAGAGTTATTGTGTTATTAAGAACCATGCTTGAATTATATATTGTGACGAAAGTCATATGAGTTACGTGAAAGGATTTCGCCACATGACAAACATTCTTCGGTCTCGTGCTCACCATTGTTTTCTGCCTTGCAGTTCTTAAGTTGTTTCTCATGTTTTCGCGAGACCGAGGATCGTCGCTAGTCAAACGTCTGTCCATATAACAGAACTTGTATAAGCTCTCTTTCCACATTTGGTGTATCTGTTCCTCCAATTAATCCTTCAAGCAGCTGGACATGAAGTTGTCTACCTAAGTTCCGTTCGACTACCTGTTCCTGCGGTCCGGGCATAAAATCTCTAACACTGGTTATTCTAAAAAATCATTCCATGGAATTTCGCTTTTCCCGGCCTTCAAAGTTTGTAGAGTTTATATGATTTAGTATTTGTTATTTGAGTTAGACAGAGAAGTGAAAGAGATATATCTGAAAATTTCAAATCTTTTTCTAAGTTGCAGACATCCTTTCCGATGAATTTTAAAAAATGAGCCGCAAGTTCATGATCCTTAACATCCTTTTTGGCAATGCTCAAGATTTCAAACTTGTTTATGTAAGCTCTGAACGTTTCACAACTGAAATGTATATTCAACTGTTCAATTACAGGCTCCATTGTGATGCCAATATGATAATCAAAAGTAACTAAACTGATTTGTTAACTAAGTATTTCCAAAACAGTTCAAAGTAAGGCAGTAGGACTGGATAGACATAAGTGGACGTATTATATTTGTAGTTCGTAAGAAGCACGCAGTCAATTACAAATAAGTCACCAGTTGGTAGAAATATCGCAGGAATACTGATCCGTAAACTAATGGAGTATACATATGTTGTTGTTCCGAATCACAACTTGGTTTCAGTATAGTGGTTTTTCCAGAGGCTATGTCGTTTACACATCCTGCAGTACTTGAAAATTCCATGTTTATGACTGATCATACTTTTTATCGTGATAAGACCACCCACTATTATCACTTATCTACAGGAGTTATGTCTTTCATGTAGGGAGGACGCCTTTCTCCATTAAATTCAGATAATAATCCCAACGTTTCGGTCAGTTCAGATAAAAGTTTAGTTTAGCTCTAGGTCAAAAGCACCGATTCCATACCTGAACAATGACATAAATCAAAATGTGACGTATTTGAAATCTGCCCCAATAAGTCCGTAGAATGGGCTGTAGCTTTTAAAATCTTACCAAACTAGGTTATATACAGTACATTTTGAAGCGTCGGATAAGTGTAACTAACGAAATCAACTCAGTTCAAGTAGGATCAAATAAGTCTGCGATATCAAGCATACATTCGTGGCTATGACTATGAGAATTCGTGGCTGCCATCGAAAAAATATTTTTCCGTAATTTACTCGACAAATTATTTTATTCCACAGGAACGACGAAAAACAATATGTGCTGAAAAATGTACATAAGATTTTGTGATATAAAACATGCTTTATGGTGTAAAAGTTTCATGATATATGTGTATTTCAAACATGAAAGTGTCGCACTAAATATTAGTGCTCCTTTGGAGACAGCAGTTATGGTTTACCGTGATTCATCGAAAACCCTCTGTTGGCAATGTCTAGCATACAGAAAAACTGCTCTCTTACATACATTGTAAACCTGGACTGTTACAGCCAGACTAATATCAAGGATTAACAAAATATCGCCTAGATTTACATAAGCTGCCCCAACTTTCACTATGAGATGACTGATCTCATAACCATCTGCAGAACTACGCAGATTAGCAATATATTGAACCAATTATTACGAGTCACCAAATAGAGGACGTAAGTACGGGCTCTACTAGTTTTGTCGGATTACATTTACTTGGAAGTTCAAAGTTCATTGTATCCTTCAGAGATTTGATGTGTGCCA